GGTCCACTTTATAGAACATAAGCGGAATTCTGCCAATCTTTCTATAAACCACGTCAAAGAACTCGTAGACATTTCTCATCTTGTTACAGTAGCGGTTGCCTATGAGTGCACTTACCTCTGCTATTTCTTACTTGACCGTGTTCTTTGTGGCATCTAGCGAGTCATTTTGGTGCTGGAAGTATCGGCCGTACATAATTTCGCAAGACTTAAAGTCAAGAAGAGTCGTAAAGAACATTGCAGCTAGCGTGGAAATGTTAGTCTCATCCTCTTGTAGCCAACAGAAGTAGTCCGCAAATTGATGCATTTAGTCACTCAATAGGTAACTCCCCACCCTGGGCTTGAGGCGTAATTCGAAATGTTGGCAGCATGGACGACCAATGTCCACAAGAGTTTAGTTGAAATGGACAAGAAGGAAGGTCAGTTAGTATTCGATGAATAAAAAAGGCTGAACAGGGCAAAAATTAAGACCTATTAGGACATCGTCAGTTGCTTGTAGGAAAAACGAAGAGTTGGTGATCTACGGTCAGACGCAGCCGGTCATATCAGCACCAGTGTCGAAAAGGAGAAGATGGTAAATTTTCTGTCTAAAATGTAGAGCGAAATGCGGTAGATTTAGTGGTACATCTAGTGGAAACCCTCATTTATGTCTTCACAATCCCTTGATTTGAATTGGTTACTAAGTCCACTGCTCTCACTCCTCTCCCACAGCGACGATATTCGCGGTTCTTGATGTAATCTCCCTCATTGTGATCTCAAGCGGTCTGTCGACACTCACAGCGGAACCCGCTGTATTCGCCGTCTACTAGTAGTTTGGTCGTATCTCCCCTTCACACTCCTCAGTTGGGCTCGAATCGGACTGTGGCCGATCGCGTCTGGGTTCCCCTCGTCTCGCCAATTTTGAAGCGAATAGTCTCATTCGTCGCATCAATTCCACCCTGACGATGCCCGTTCTGAATCCCCTATACAATACCACATGCATGTCAGTCCTGTCTGACCCGCATAAATGTCCCTCAAGGCTAACATTTATTTCTGTCCTGACGATGTCCGATTATAATCCGCCGCATAGAGGCCAGTTCTGCTTGCATTTTTTGACATTATACGCGACGATTTTTCCCCCGTTAAATCAGTCCACTTCCGATTCCACGGGCAAAGGATGCCCTGCCAATGCACGCCACGTCAAATTGTGTTTATGCATTCACATGCACTTGCGGATGCAAGTACATTGGGCGAACGCAAAGGCAGTTGGCAGCCAGGTCCATTGAGCACCTGCCCAAGTGGCTCCTAAGTCAAGAAAATAAGATCCCGTGTTCCTCCATTACGAAACACCATACTTGATACTGGTCACACCGTCGACCCCAAAACTTCCTTCCGAGTACTTGTTCGGGCACGAACAACTCGGACTTTGCGTTACCTGGAGGCGGCCTATATACAACGAGTGAAACCAGATCTTTGTAAACAATTGGAGCACGTGGTTAAGCTAACATTGCCATGGTAGCCTCTAGCTCCATGATTCCCCCCCCCCTCTTTCCTCTCACTTTTTGCTCTTTAACGTTTCCCCTTTTTTCACTTTCTTCCCCTACGGTGTTTGTGTTACTAACTTTATCGATTAGCCAACTTTGCCCAAAACCCTGACCTTGCTGTTTCTGCATCGATTTTCTGCACGAATTCAAATCTGTTGTATTGTTCTCACTCGTTATCCCTCTTATGAAGCGACAGGAAGCAGCTGAAGAGCAGTCGCGAAATTTTTTGGTACCAATTAATCCAATCATTTCTTAACTCTTAAGTGAAGTATTTTCACTGCTCGCTCATCATTTTTCTTGATGGACTGCAAATTCAGAAACCATGAATTGCATTTTGTACAGATTCAGCCTACCTCGTCTAAAATTAATATCTAAGTTTATTTTTACTTACTTTGATGGAATCCGACGTGTCCTTAATAAAATTTATTTCTTTATTTATTTTGATTATTAAGTCCGTTGACGTAACTGGCAGGCATGCAAGTTCGGCAACCAAGGAGGATGCAGTCCACTGTCTTTTCCACAGCAGGCGGAGCCCATGGACGGTGGCTTACGCATGAATTCGTTTTTAATTATAGCAGATCCGTGCTGCGACTACCACACTCTGGCTCCCTTCATCCACCTGGGTCGTGGGCCAGGACTAAGTCAGGATGGTCAGAGACGGGAGATGGCAGAGGTGGCGGACGAAGCAAATCAAGCACACACGACCTGGTCCCCATACAATAAGCCAGCACATAACACATATGGATTGGAGTGAAATAATCGCCAATTTTGGAGATAGCACTGCACCTGAGCAAAGCATTCAATGGTTCAATGAGACAAATAAAGAAAAGAAGATCCGCAGGCCCAACTTCGCCTGCTGAGATCAAATTTCAATAAGTGACCGCATAGCTTGATTGTGCTCGCGAATTCGAAGAGGTCACAAATTGCTGGTCGGAAAACAAATTCGTTCACGATGCGATGCGACTAAAATGTGTGCCTCTAGATTTGACCTAAGCACAGACGACGATTCCCATCCTTCTTAGGCGGCTTGTGTTAGGACAAGGAGCTATAGTGCTCAGTAATTTTGCGAACGCTTTATAGAATTGCTACGTGGCACTTGGCCATTAATCACGCGGAATCTCTAAGCCTGCGTGATGAACCCGAATGCGAATACATCATTTTTAAGGACTTGGTGAAGAAGTCTTTTGAAACATCCCCGAAAACGTTTTTGGGTGCTTGCTATACTAGGCCTTTCGCCATCTTTGGAACATTAACTGCACAAAAACTACACTATGTTAGGACTGAAGAAAAGCCCACCACACACCACTCATTTTCGTGAATATTTCGTGGACAAACTCCGGGTGCATGTTGGAACACGTAATCCCTTGCGACTTCTATTTACTGCGCACCAGTTGCAGTCTGGTCCTCAACCAATGTTGACTGTCCAAATTGACCAATCATATTCGAGGCTGACACGGTCGTGACCTTGGTGAAGGCGGTGGACGAATGCCCCAGCGTCTCGCACTCGCGGACGCCAGTCTCGCGGCGACGGACCTGCCCTTGTCTGACTGCAACCTCCTACCAATTTCATGTCTAACTGTTTTGTACGCAATACAACATCCTCCCAACTGACGTCACGCTTCTGTTCAGAACTGGCTGGTGTCTCCCTATGGCCTAAGCTGCCGCGATGGATATTGACGTGCCCCATGATAAAGATCAGGTCTAGGGCCCACTTTGACGTACAGGGACTGCAGACTGCGCCAGCAGGTGCGGAGCAGAGTTAAACCATGCATTTTTGCAACATCCGGACGAAAATAATGGGAACAAGGCTGAAGCTAATGGAGGATCATTCACATTCGCCGGATAGCCGAAGAGGTGTACCGTTGCCGACTTTAACCGCGGCAAAACGTTCTTCTTCCTTCACCGAGGGCAAACACGCCATAACACGAGGGTGTGTTCATCATTCCAAATGACAGACTCTGAATGAAGTACAAGCGTTGCATTGAGATAACAATGCGGATACTTGAGTGGGCTGAAACTGCCCCCTCTCAGCGTGGCCGCCGACTCATGTCGCCTCAAGCTCCCTGGCAAGATACGACTGCGAGAGCTGGACGCAAAACACGCCGCATCTTTCGCGGACTGGCTGCAGGCGAACACGACCAAGACGGAGGCGTACACACGTTGGGTAATAAGATCTTCAGCGGCAGACGACTGTTCGACCGTTGCAACCGAAGATCTTTACCGTGGGCTTCACAGCAAGGCGACGCAGGCACGTTGACTCATGTGTGAACTAGTTTTTAGTGGGGGTGGATATGCACAGTATCGACCGCAATCTCTCCTTCTCCCTTACCCGGGCCCGATGTTATGACATAGTCAAGACCGAAGGCGGGAGATGGCGCAGGTGTGGGACACGGCCGGACCACACCTAGGCGCACCAACACACCCCCTGACACACAACCAACACGACCAGGACATTAACCGACAGAAACGTCACAACGGGTCAGAAGAACGAGGATGACTGGGCAGCAATGCGTACGACCTATCTACTTCGCGGGAGCTCAAGCGTACCTGCCAGCGGGGTACCAGGTGCCAGAGAATTGCCAGCATACGTCACGTTTGATAGTCATGACACAGCGGACGCTCACAACGGCAGACACCCTCACACACACGAATTGTGATAGCTGCTTCCTAAGCTCCGTGTTCGCTATTTCCCCTCAGAAAAGCGTGTCCATTCAGGTCCGTCTTCCCTGATTTGTGATTTTGAAACCTTCCTGTTGTCGATCATGACAACTTACGAACTACAACATTCCTTCTTCCGAATATGTGAGACTGTCAGTCGCTGACAGTGAAAACTTTTTCACAAATTTTGGCATTTGAATCTAAATCTCCTCCTGCTGCACAACTTATTCGGACGACCGAGCGTCCGCGGCATCGCCAGGCCGACTTTGCCGTACTTGCAACTTCACCAGACTCTCCGGCCCATCACCCCAAGGCTTCTCTGCCACCCTGAATACCCAGTCTACGCCGTCATCTCGTTCCAACACGGCCGCCGCCTATTGGCATCACACCACATCTGGTGAACCGTAATGAGAAAATATATAGCGCCTTAGCTCCTCTTCCTAAGCAGCCAATTCCTGCGCTATCGCACATTACGTAAGACTCCGTAATTATTCACAGACCGTTCATCCGCAGATCTACCAAAACATAACACAGAAGCACAGTAATGAGTGACCTTATTCGGTCGCTCGGATTGTCTTTGTAAAAAAAAATAAAATAGTACATACACAGTTTCGAAAGCATCAAAAAAACCTGAGTTCACGAATAGAATACAATTAACAGGCGTTGCACATAGTCTTGGATACAGCCGAATTACCCCAGAAGACGCCAGACAACAATCAGCATTCCAAAGTTTCTAAAATGAATTCAAAAAGTTCGGTCAAGAAACTAGACAGAACGATGACAAGATAATTAATATAAGCATTTTGGCTTGTCAACAGGTCATCATAAGAAGCTCGTCTGTCGCAGGCGACAGGGGAAACCGCTGGCCAGAAAGGATGCTGCGATGACTTGCGCATGAGGCTGACCATAATAAGGCAGACTTGCGCCGCATCTACCTCGCTCACGCCTCGTACAACCACCACTGTCAAGAAACTCTTGATGACGACAGGTGAAATAAGAGGCATGTACGCGGGTGGCGTGAAGTCTGCGTCTAATGCCTGTTCCACGCAAACGTCAAAGAGGAGCCGGTTAGAAAAAGGGACACGTTTTGGAGACTATTTGCGATAGAAGCAAACAGGCGCGTGAGGCACGATGGGACTGGGCTCGAAAAGCGAGTCATTCGAAGGTGACGATGCCCTCTACGTGCACTTGTTGTGTCCTCGTTATTTGTCCGCGCTAGTGGACGACATCGCTCATTGTCCTAAAGAAATAATCCGCATTTCGTACCTATTTACCATACAAAAATATGCATAGGCGGGACTGGCGATGGAGGCTTACTAGTTTATAAGCTAAACGCCCTCCTAAATAATTCGCTTAGCTCACACTGTACGGTTAAAAACCGTCTAGTTAACTCCTTCGTGAGGAAAACTCGACAACAGATCCCCAGGAGACTTTGAATGCGAACTGTCGGGACACCCACGATTACCTGCATGCCAGAAGGTGGATCAGAGCCTTAACATAGCAACAAATTGACACACAAGTGGTTCCACTCCGCTGGTTGGGAAAAGTCAACTTGATCTTGGAAAGGAGCTAACACTTTGAGGCGTACTTTTGTGGATACGGCTGATGTGTCTCTTCAGGTTTCCGTTGCGGGCGAAGGCTTTGCCACAAATTACACACGCGCATTCACGGAGTTCTAAAAGGAGAAAAGATGAAAGATACACTCGACTCACTTAGTCCAGGATTCTATGACACTGCAGACTCATTTCAACACCCTATCGCAGGCGAATCCTGCTCTTATTTCCTGTTTAGGGGCTATATAAGAAAGTTGTAACGGCAATCAACGCTGGCACCAAGTCCGCCTACCAATACGTAAGCAAAAACCTTTCCCATTTTGACCCAACAGTAACATGCTGTGTGACCGCTTTGCGACTCGAACCCGCGGCACCAAGGGGAAGGCTTTGGTACAACCCAAACACTAATTAAAAAACCTTTCTAACTGATTGGCTAATGCAGACCACGCAGTTAAAAACCGGTTAGTCAACTCCGTCGTGAAAAAGACATAGCAACATATCGACCCCCAGGGAGACTTTGAATACAAACTTTCAGAACACCTATGACGACATACACACCAGAAATTCGAGGTGATCGTCACATAAGATGCTTCCATTGCAAACAAGGATCATGCCACCGACGGCAAAAAGTCAACTTCATCCAGGGAAGGTTATTAGCATACTAGAGCGTACGTTTGTGGATACTGTCGACATGCCTCTTCAGGTCTCCGTTGCGTGAAAAAGCTTTTTCACAAATTTCACACGCGTACTCTCGGAGATCTGAAAGGAGAAAATAAAAATGGTTAAATTTATTGAAGAATGTACTGGCTACTTAAATCCCTAAGTACATCATCTAATGAAATATTAGACTGACTTTGACGCAGCGAAAGAGTAATTTTATTTGGACAAGAACAGCAAATAACTTGACTACATAAAGAGGGATGCTCAGCAACTCCGCAGGTTCGAGAGAGATAAGCGAATTGCAGAACATAAAACTGGGATTAGGAGCAATTTGGAAGACCGCCTTAAATGCCTATGAACAACGAAAAACGACGCGGGCACGTTTAAGGGCAAAAAATAACATCCTTTAGTGCCAACTTAGAGTATGCTATTCGAGTGTCTTGACGGTGGTCTAGACATGGCATGAAAGCAATACGTGAAATAGCGTAGCGATTTGCGTAGGGACTGAAAAACTACTCTCGCCCACCAAGACATAGGACGCACCTGACCATCAGTATTTAAGCGGTCATCTTCCACCATGCAGTACAATGACTTGCAAAGTGGTCCGATCTAGTTGCTAGTCCGGAGGGCGGTCCCCACCTTCCACTCAGGGTTGTAGCATCTAAGCAGGGAGCGAACTACGAGCACTAAAGTAGCCACAGTTCTGAGAGGGGAAAGACGCCCGACGCTCGGCCGTCTCCGGATCTGCGCATGCATCTGCCTGCAAACGTAATGTACGCGCGAACGAATAAGTCTAATTTGAGTAAGTCGGCATCAGTCTGGTCGGTTGTTTGGGTGGCGGCGCAGTTTATGAACTTAATTGAGGTTTAAGATTCGCATGCTTTTTTGGTTGCTCGGAAACAGCGATCCCACACTTCCTAGTGCGGCGTTGGCTGCAGACAAGGGAGGGCTTGAAGCACAGAGAAGATTACTTAATGAAGCTGTGCAACAAACGAATAACGACGTATAACCTTCAACTTGGAGTATTCCATCACTGTGTGTGCGCGCGGTGTACCTGAACAGTGCAGTGTATGGATGTTTAATTACACAGTGTAGGGTGTAATAGGTTGCCTATTGTACCTCGTGCAGGTGGTGGCTGCCCCCCACCCCCGAAACTGGGTTTTGCCCAGCGGTCATAATCTGGTAACTTAATTGGTTGGTGAGTTAAAGTAGACGAAGGTATCCGGTGTCGCGTGTCTCCACAAGCGTTATTTCCGCTTCTCATCCCATCCTCCCCCTTCCAATTCAAAAGTCCTACTGATAGGGCGACACGCAATCCCAAAGGTGGCGTACGCAAAGTCGGGTTGCTCAACCACTAGACAAAGTCGCGACCGATAGTGGAGTTAGGCATCCGTTTGGGACGTCCAAATAGCTCTATTCAGGGACAGCACTGAGTTCTCCCTCCTGGGAAGTGGCCAGAAAAGGAGGCCTCAGACAAGTGATGGTAAATCATGCCATCTGCTAGTATATCGTAACTTGCAGACGTAAAACCCGCGGTCGAAAATCTAGAAAAAACTACAACCACCCTCGGCACTGTCATAGACCAGCACCCCAAAGTTGACACCAATACTGCCATGGACCGTCCTCTTTCCGTTCCAGAAACAGTCATAGACGTGGATAGGCACCCCCGCAAGGAAGGGTCGGCGTCCGACGGAATCCCAGCCGAGGTGGACAAAGAAGACGGTTTCAGCTGATGGACAAACTCAAAACGCTGCTCCAGGAGATGGTGTGACAAAGACAAATCCATCGGGACTTTTAGGACGCGACAATTGTCCACACCTACAGGCGGAGCGAGAACCCTCGACTATGTGATAATCACAAGGGCCTTTCCCTCCTCAATTTTACAGAAACGGTCTTCGTACACGTCCTTTCCAATCGTTTCAACAGCCATCTGGAAGAGCGACTTCTCCCAAAGAGTCAGCGTGGCTTCCGACGATACAGCGGAAGCACCGACACGATCTTCGCGGCCTGCCAATTACAAGAGAGGTGCCAGGAGATGCGGGCTCACTTCTAGACAGCCATCATGGGTCTGACGAAAGCATTCGATACGGTGAATAGCAATACTCTCGGAATTCATGTAGGAATACTACTACCCTGAGCGATTCGCGCGCTTGTTGTGTAAGCTCCACGAAGGGATGGTGGCGCAGGTGGCGGATAATGGAGAAGTCTCAGAAGCATTCGCAATGATGATGATGATGATGATGATGATGATGATTAACGCCAACAGCGGGCCAGTGTTTGAAGTCCCGGCATACATCCTCCGTATCCCCCCGACTGCCCAGGCCGCCGACGCACATTCAGTCACCGTATGGGGTCTACTATGCCGCATACATGTTCACAACAGCGGAATTCGCCGCAGTATCGACACATCTGACAATCCTCCCATATTCGCCACTGCCAAATCCTTCCCCATCAGTGCGGCGATTACTAGCAGGAGCACCACCACCCGGACAGATTCAGCAGCTACCAACCTATCCTGCTCATATTAGTCGGCGTCATTCAGTTTTTCGTGCGATGGACTTTGGGGTAGGTGACACCGAGAATCTCATGTCTTTTGTTCGCAGAGGCGATAAGCGTGAGACTTGCAGCACTCAGGTCAATGAGCAAATAGGATAGAAGCAAAAGGAAGCAAGGGTACCAAACATACGCTTGTGGATGCCATCGACGTGCGTCTTCAGGTGACCCTTATCCTTAAAAGCCATGCCACAAATCTCACAGTCAAATATTCGCAGGTCTGAAAAAGAAGCAAGAACATGCTCCAATTGGTTAGAGACTTTATTTTTTGATTTAGTTTACATTTGTACTTACGAGATTCCGAATGGCGGAAACAAGACATTATAAATTATTTTATCCCAAGACACAACGGGGCGTGCATGTCGCGCAACCTGGGAGGCGAGCGCCATTCAACCATAGTTTGCTACCTCGATCACAACAGACAGGGCAACGAGACCGTGACTCATGGGTGCAACGTGAGACATACTAACTTTAGATGACCAAACAACGAGGTGTCGGGTCTCAAGTCCCGATGAATAGAAGAACTACTTAAACCGTACATTTCTGACGTGCCTGCAGACGCTTAACTCGAACTCCCAGATCATCCTCCACCATACAATGTGATCGACAAGGAAAAGACGCTCCCATGGGTTCACCCATGTCCGGTCCCCTAGCGGAGACTATAATGCAGAAACGTGAAACTATGGCTCTTTTCACAGCTAACCCAAAACCCAGGCTACACTATGTAGATGACGCACTTGTCATCGTTAGGGAAAATCAGTGAAATTTGCCCCATACAAATCCCAACTTTATATTTCTAGGAATCAAGTCTGTTTTTGAAACGGAGGGCGATGGGCATCTGTCATTCCTGGATATCCTTGTGTGTCGAAAAACTGATGAATCATCGCACACATCAGTTTGTCGAAGAGGCATATTCGCAGGTCATCTTACATTTCAGAGAAATCATCCTGCCTCTCACGATAGGTTGTCTACAGCCTGCTAAATAGATGCAGAACACACATCCAGTAACCTGGTTGGCGAGCACCATTAAACCACAGTTTGCTACCTCAATCACAACAGACGGGGCAACCAGACCATGACTCATGGGTGGAGCGTTAGACATACTAACGTTCGATGACCAATGAACACGGTCTAAGGTCTCACGTCCCGCTGAATAGAAGAACTCCCTTAGGTCTACACCACAGAGGTGCCTATGAACGCTTTGCTCAAACTCAGGTTGGCAGACATCGGGGATCCTATAGAAATTCCCTGAAGTCGCTCGCAAATATGGACATTAGGCTATAATCCAGTAGCTCCACTGCGTGCTTCCTTTAAAAAAGGGGTTCCTTCATTGTACCTTCTCCAGTACGTCATTGATGACTCTTATAGCTAATTCTTTAGGGATATGGGTGAACAGAGAGACGACCTCAAAGGATACCACTATTTCGTCGGGAGCCTCTGAGTTCATCCGGGAAGTGCGTTGAGGATACAGCTGTGAGCTCTGAGCCCTCCGTCAACTTTTTCAAATGCTTAACAAGTCAATCATCGGGCAGACCATAAGTAGGCGTACCTTTCAGCTCTAGGACGTTTGGGTTGGGGATTTTTGGTTAACCATGGAAAAGGGCTAGGGCAGCATGTTGTGTTTCCATTGTCATGGCCAATCGTTTCACGGTATTGCCTGTTGGTTCCTCATTAGATTCAGGCTCTTGTCGACTATACCCACCAGTGTTTTCAAGGGGTAAGAGTCAACGACTTTGTATGACTAGTTAATGTTTGGTAACACTTGAACTTTTGCTACGTAGGTTAAATTAGTGAATACTTCTCAGGAGGCAGTTTGAACGAGTAGAAGTATTCGAAAAAACCAAGACAATGTCCCCCCGACGAGCAAAATGCGTGGAGGGAAACGCCGCCGCAAAATACGGCAGCGATGAAAGGCAACGGATCGGCATATCAAAGTGGCAAAGGAAAGGGGGGGCATACTTTTGTGGACCAAGTCAACATGTTTCGTCAAGCAGGGCTTCCGATTAAAGGCTTTGCCGCAAATCTCACATACATGCTGTCCTGGTGCTGAAAGGGAAACACAAAAGACTTGCATTTAGCAAAACAAATGTTTCCTCATTTTACAGTCAAGATGGCTTTCCAAAAACTGTAAAATCTAATGTAAGCTATAGGATAAGTAACTTAACAGTTTTCCGCGTGTCTGCGGAATAAAGACGTCACGGGACGGATAAGAAAAAACTGTCCCTGCTCGCTGAAACGAGCACATTCTTGGGAACGAAAGCCTAAACAGTATGCACAGTTTTATCCTACGGTATAAAGATGTCCTGGCGTGAACGAACAATTTCCGGCGCCTTTGTGGAATAAAGAAGCCACGTACGGTCAGTGACTGATTTCATGGAATGTCAACCTAGCTATGCTCTTACCTTGAATATAACATTCGAAGAAGACGCAATCTGCGACCAAATGAGCGCAAGAAGGAATATTACTGTCCAAATATTTTTATGAAACATGTTCGGTATTTTAAGGGTACAGAAATCAATGGAAAAATGCGTACTACTTCAGTAGTAGTCATTTTTTACTGAATGGGAGTCCTGAAGGTGGCCGAAAAGATGTGCATTAGGGAGCCGGCATGCTTTCTTGACTGAAATACTAGGGATTATGCGGTCTGATAAGAAGTCACAGGCAACACAAGCCCTTACCGTCGTTCAAGAAATTTTCCAACATGACTGGACTTTGTCGTCTCCGTTAACTTGAACCTGGCATGTTTCTGCAAGACCCTATATCTATCATGCGACGAATACATAAATCTGCCGAGGATAGGCAGTCGACTACGATGACCGAAGGATAATCAATTTTTGTTTGCGTTACCCTGCGCACCTAGGTCTCATGTGGACCAGTTCAGTCATACAGACGACAGCAAACACTAAACCGTGTGACGGAGGCTTTACGCCAGGTCACCAATGAACCCGACCATCATAAATCGTTGTCCAGACCGGACGTCGAAAGACGGGAGGGTGCATATGACGCAACTGGTATCCAGGGGTTAGCTTTCCCAATACAACCGAATTGAGCGGTTTGTAGTTATCAGGAAGCGCTAACAATCCTGGCTTTGAGGGTTGCCCCTAGAGTTCGGGTCAGACTATAATGAACTACAGTGCGTCTTTATGAAGTCCTGTACTTGTACAGGTGTAGGAACCAGCACATGCAGGAGACACGTAAATGCGGAGTAAGCCTCGTTGGGCGCTGACTAAACACTCGACTTTGATTATCTTGACTTCGTCCTGCCACTGAAGAACGATGTGGGTAGGAAGATTGAGGCAGGTTCCGCAAAATCTACATATGTGCCAAGTTATCTTCAAATCAATCACGGACAGTATTGGTAGCTGTGGCTTGCGGCGGACGAACTATCACAGCGGACTACGATAAACGGACGTGTATCGGATCACCCTCTCGTAACCCTGTTCTCTGTTATCTCTCAAGTACTGCTGATCAGGTCCCGGCACTCAACGACATGAAAGAGGAAAAAGACTGCTTTCACTGACGTTGGCCCTCTATCTCTTCCAGCGAAGTAAAAACTGGGTGACAAATGACGCTGCAGTCCCACTTGGTGGATAGATTATGGTATGCTTACTTAAAAGATTTGAGCAGTCAAGATTACACTGGTTTGCATTCCCATGGGCAGTTATGGACAGGAATTTCGGTGGCCTGCTTGGAAAAGTTTGAATTACATAATTTTGGGAATAGACATTTTAGGTTAGGTTTAGGGCTAAGAAAAACTATTAACTCCAATTACTAAACTTCACGCCAAACTCTAACAATTAACCCTAACTACTAACCCAAACGTCTAGACCTGACAGGTAACCCAAAAACGAACCCTAATTAATAACCTTAACTATCCAGACCCATTCCAAAACCCCGAGCTCTTGCCAGAGCCAAATGATAGACTTTCTAATCGCAGTCCTAAACCTAAAACCCCAATACCCTGTTTCCAATAATGAAATCCAATCACTAGCCCAACATCCCTAATTCTAACGCGCAACCTCCTACTGGAGAGATTTCTTAGTTCTAAACTACTCAAACATGCTCCGAAACTCCTGTCGATAACTGCCCATGGCAATGCAGGCCGGTGTAATCATCACTGCTCAAAACGCTTCAGCAAGCATACCACAAGGTATCCAACCAAGGGGGAAGGGGTTGCAGGACCATTCGTTACCAGAAATTTCAAAACTGGAAGTTGCGATCGAAGACTGTCGGCCAATGATTCGAGCGGAGATGCGCTCGTGCATATGAAATTTATTTTACCCCCAGCATTCTACCTAGCAGGGCAATCCGTGAAGCACGCCAGAATGTTCCTAACATTCCACTTTGACGAAAAATCATGATGTTCAGCCGCTTTGCCCGAATAAGGAACTGACCTCATGTAGAAACATTATTATTGTAGCCTTGCTTGTTTACTTAAATCATAGCCTCGTCGTGAGGCCACAAGGCAACAAAATACAGCATACGACAGTTTAACCGTCATTTCCGACGATTTCCGCTGTGTGCTCTGCAGCAGGGACGTTGAATTTCGCGTGAATTCACTTACAGTGATGGTGGACTTGTGCTACACCTATCGCACTCCCACCTCCTCTCCCACCCCGCGCCCGGTGTCACGACAAAGTCGAGAATACTGGAGACGGTAGAGGGCGCAGGTGGTTGGCACGGCGACGAACCGCACCTAGACGTGCCACCACACCTGGTCCACCACGCATAAATAACTACGATTGTCCACAAAGTGAAAAAAGAGGGGACAGCTCGAATAACAACTGAGTCGCACTGTCATAAAGACCGGACTGGTCAACCATTACAACCTGACTCTGCGTCCTCCAAGGAGGACTGACTTATCCCTTCAGTTGGCAGCCATCCAAGCCACGGATTTTAGCGCAGCTTGATAGATTCAAGCGCGTCAGATTGTTTATAATGAGGAATATGCGCTGAGATCGCCGACCCCAGTTTCCCTTCCCACTCTTGGGCATCAGTCCACTTCCTAAGCAGTGATCGGCCGAATCAGCATATACACAAATTGGCAGAGTCTACAGCCAATGGCCACTATCTTCCACAGAGCCTATGGTTCTCGAGGCTAAGTCGCCGTCGTCGGAACCTTGTCGTGGAGGGTGCAGACGGTCTCATTCGAAACCAGGTCATTGACATTCACTTGAATGATGCTTCTCAGACAATCGTCGTCAAACATATCCAGTTTTAACTCATCTTCCACCCGCCCAGCCCAACATTGGCAAATGTATACGAGACCTAACCGAAAATAGATAGCCGATACACGCGGACCCTTGTGGCCATGAAGATATCTCGCAGCTTCTATAGACACCCTCCAGTGTTTGAGAGAATCCTGCGAACAGCATCGGCTAGGGGAAACGATGTCGTCCTTACGCATTCGATTCGCCATATCTTCGCCCCAAAGTATTCGGAAATGCTAATTACTTCAGTCTCAGTGGCTAACACGGAGAGATGGCCTCGACCAGAAACGCAACCAACAACCATAGCAGTATTCAGAATACGAGTTGGTGAGCATATGTGGCTTTCGATAAATTCATATTGATCCAACTGTGAAAAACTCGGCGCCTCGGTGGGATTCGAACCCACGCAGTAAGAGGAAGGCTTTTGTACGGCCAACACTCTAACCACCTGAGCTACGAGGCCCCGCCGGACGACGCGAGTTTAATCACATTTGCGTTATCTATGAATTGTGTGAGCCTGGTAGTAATCTGGTGGATTCTAGGTGAATTACTTAGGAAATCCTGCTTGGGAAGTCAATTTACTGTACCAGATTTGGTGGATACCAGACGTTGCAGTAGGTTGGGCGGGTAACTTGACCCAAATGTGATAAAACTCGCGTCGTCCGGCGTGGCCCCGTTGCCCAGGTGGTTAGAGCGCTGGCTGTACTAAAGCCTTTCCTTTACTGCGTGGGTTCGAATCCCACCAAGGTGCCGAGTTTTTAACAGTTGGGTGAATATGAATTATTCAAAATCTGCCAAAATATTTATGAATTTCGATAAATTCTCCTCAGGCCAGCACAACTATATGGGAAAATGTTACAGTCAAACATGTCAGTGATTAAAAAACCAAAGAAAGTTAATTTTGAAACACCGGCGCGGCAAGAGTAAAAGGCCACTGAAAGTTGCATGTGGCCAGTCAGCCTTTGATCACGGTAGGCGAGGAGTCTGAATGAGGTTCTTCTGGACGCATAGTGTCGGTTTTCGTAACCTGGTTACCGTTACTTCTGCTGTTGCCGACAGACACTGACTCAGTAGCTTATAATAGCTCAGGGGACCTTATAAAGAACAAGAAAAGCTTCGCCGTTGTCCACACGATGCGCTCAATCAACCGCATGCCCAAGAACGGCACTGCTTATGCTCCTAGTTTCGCCTTTTGCCAGCCATACAGAGAGGTGTTCTCGTACTCTTCCAGATGGACACCAACTCGTACGACCAATACAACCTGCTCCACAGGGGCATGTGAGGGAATATATGTACATTGAGGTGATAACCTATCTTTACCTTCTCCGCGTAACATAGGGCTAGTAGAAAATAATATTTGAACCCATGCAGGTAGGGAGGTTCGCGAGACAACTTGATCAAGGCGTCTTCTTAGAAATTCCCTCGCGGCGTCTTCTTGGAATGAGGACATTGGAGAACAAAGTTTTGTTTTCGACAGTCAGTGTGGTAGGTTTTACCGGTCATTCGGCGATGTTATTTGCAATGAACCCGTCAGGATACCCGTTTTCGCCAAACAAGTCCTGGATTTTTCTAAACTGCTCCTCGATGCTTTCTGCTAAACAAATCTTTCTAGCTCTTTTTGCCAAAAACCGGGGTACGAAACTGTCCAGACCAGATTTTCTGTCGATCGACACTCCTGTGACATCCCGGATGTCAATTTGTATCCTTGGTTGTTTTTTGCTACTAACTGTTTGTTAGTAACCAGACTTCACTCATATCACCCTGTCTTTGTTTTTGTACCCCCATTTGTCGGACCTCGTCCTTTGTTCATTGTTCTTTACTGCCACTTGCTTTTAAACCGACCACCACACTTAGGCGTCATTAGCTGACTGCTCGTCTAATCACCTCGAATGTAAGTCCACTTTTCCACTTATTCCCCGCCTTATTAACTCTATCGTGGTCCCCTAATCTTACTGTTTATTGCTACAGAACCACAAAGAATATCAGAGTTATCCGGAATGACTTCTGACATACTTTTGACCTCGGGTACGTCTATTTCGGTAAATAAACCAGCACTGAAGCGAGAAAATCTAAAGAATACTAACAGCGCCTTCGGTAAAACCCCGTGACTGAGAAAACTCTACGAGCAACAGCCGTTAGGGAGACGATGTCGTCCTTACGCAGTCCATTTGCCGCATCTTTGCCATAGAGTATTTGAAAATGCTAATTACTTGCGACTCAGTCACTAATACCGAAATGTTGCTTCCGATCAGAAATGTAACCAACAGCACTTTTGTCTTCCCTGTTTTAATGGATACAATGGCTGAATAAGCCATCCATTCGCTTTCAACACCACACGTAAGTAATAATGGGCGGCAGCACGATACCGTTAACGCAGTCGAGATCAGTGACCCGGTGTCTAGGTGTAAATCCGACAACGCTAAAACCGTGTCGTCTATCTGAAAATTCAGGTAATGACGCAATAGAACAGGATGGTTGAAAGAACGCAACCAGCGGTATAACAAACGGCTGGGAGGGAATGATAGGGACCAGAACTCGAGCGGTGGTGGAGAAATAGACCCTATTTACAGCGACTATCTTTGTTGGCATAGCGGCTAGCTGCAAGTCGACCTCGCAAAAGTTGCAAGTTAATACCACCAAGGGAAATGCTTGCCCTCAAATCTACAAACATTAGCTTTTTGGAGGCTATAGCTGCAAAGTTTTCAGAAAAATGACAAACAGTGTTTTTAAAAACACCACAGAGGGCAAAAATAGTGGTCAAAGATCAACAAGCATCGTACCAATGTGGACACTGTCAACATGGAGTTTGAGTAGTCTCTCATTCGTAATGATTCTCCCACAGAACTCACACGGGAACGCGCGCTGCTCTGAAAAACAATTAAAAATGCCTTTAATTTAGGGTGTCGCCGAAGTAGCAAGTCAAACATGTTGGAGAACTGCTTCTGCAACCGAACCCGAAAGCAGCGATTCCGTTGGCGTCCGTCAAACCTGCTAATACGTGGCCCACTCGCAAATGAAGTAGATGTGACAGGGTTTAAGGATTTGGACGAGATATCTCCGCTTCACCGGCTCTTGAGCAGTTCGCCGGCCGTTTCGACTGTCAGATCCTGGGGTGCCGAAGAAAAGAGGGAAGCGACATCAAGCGGCATCATGATCTCGTCTGTGGTGAGTTCCATTCCTGTAAGCTATCCCAGGAAATGAGTAGTTCAATAGGCCGAAGTGAGAAATTCAAGGCCCAGATAAATTACCTCGAACATCATCCCCTAAGAAAACCGAAGAGGAGGAGACGACTTCATGGACGACATTGTGTCTGTCCTGATGCTTTGGAAACCTCGTTGACATTATTCGAGCTTGGATGTCTGTTCATGCTGACCTGGACTTGTTCGGCCTCGCGGCTTGTCTCGTATCCTAATCATGACTGACGCACGAACTTTGGCCTGTCTGCTCGTTGGGGATGTTATTCAGTCGCTCCGTACCCGACCTCGGGCGCACTCGTGGAAGCTCCGTCCCTGCCAGGCCGTTCTTGTTGCTGCAGGGTCCGTACGCCCCTGGACCCTCCCATCGTAATCTGATGGGCTGATCAGCTGCCGCCGAATATGCAATTCGCGTTCGGATGTTTAGGCGCGTCGGTCATGTGACTTCCGGCCGGCTTTTTTCTCCTGCTGTGAAGGTGACGACTGTTGGACGAGCTGCTATTTGTTCGTTAGTGCTGCTAAACCCGTCTGGACTGGCTGGCAGTCCATTCTCGCAGTCCACAATGAGCCGGTGCTCATGCAGTCTTGTGCAGAGCCGTTTGCCCGTTTCACCAACATAACTTGCCCTGCAATTTGGACCACTGCCGATTGCTCCGTTGACGGTAGCCGGTCTTATTATCTCCCCCCTGATAGTTGATCATGGCGTATGGACAATCCCAATCCCAAAACGGCTCAGGATTCATGCTGTCGTCCGCGAAACGTTCTTCACACGGGGATCGTAGGCCAAAACTCCGACCTCTCATCCTTCAACCGCTCACGCGTAGGCTATCTTCGGTACTCCCGTATGAAGGAACGTGAGTGACCATTGGCGACGAATACGGAATGTAGGTATTTCGCTCCATCCCTTCTTCCGTCCTTGTCGCTCTAGCGTGCTTCAGCCTGTCTCTGCCTTCCTCAACTTGCTAGTCATCCTGTTTACGACTGTTCAAGTGCTTCGTGAATTCTCCAGCACCCGAAAGCTCATAGGCGCCTTCGCCCTCCAATAAACCTGATAGTTCCGTCGCGTACCCATCTTATCCATGACAACCGTTGAGTGTCCCTTGTCGGCGGGCAGGGCGACAATATCCCCCGCCTTTTACATGCGCAGAAGCTCCCGCTCTTCTGTTTCAGAAATCGCCCTTTGAGGTTTGTGCTGGAGTAGAGTTGACACTTGTCGCCACGTTGCGTTCATCATCGACGAAATGAGACGAAGAAGAAAGGACGAGTTTATGGATTGAAGCATATTTGGACTGACGTTTCGGAGACTCTCTCGTCTCCAACATCAGAGTAGTGGTTTGGGTGTTCCTGCTGGCCTTGATTGCAGCGTAGAATTACCGACAAAGACAAGGGAGACTGGAGTGGTCATTATCGGCCAACGCCAATAACCACCGAGCCACGGGGCTCGTTGTCCAATAGATATAGATCAGGTACATCGGATGGCAAAAGGGATACGAAAATAAGCGTACCGTAAGAAAGCAACGCCACAGAAAATAAAATACTGTCAAAAGAAGGAAGCGGCTCTCCAAGCGTACTTTCGTGGATAGAATCGATGTGTTTTCTCAGGTGACACTTCTGAAGAAAGCGTTTGCCACAATGCTCACACGTATGCTTTCGAAGTGCTGAAAGGCAGAAAAAAAACGGTTTATCCGTGGAGGAATGGTTTGCGTCTTTTATCATTTTTAAAATGTAGTATGACAGGCTGATATCAAATCGTAAAAATATTAACTTCTCGCAGAACTCCGAGGCCGGATGATTCAATCCGACGAAATCATGGTCTCTTTCGTTCCGACGTCCATCCTAATGGAGCTGATGCAAGATTTAATGAGTAAGCAACGAGATTCGGAGTCTACTCAAAATTCGGCAACGCATGAGTCTGTTCGGATTTTGTTAAAAAACCTATGGGAAGATCAAGGCAATCTCAATGGATCCCCGGGTCTCCCGTTCAGTGACAGTACTGCTCCTACAATGACTAGAAGACATTGACTTCATCCAATGTGAGCCAGTCTTTCGACGGCGTTACGTGGACGACACGCTCGTCATCGTCAAAAGAAACATGCCACAGAACTTCCATAACCAGCTCACGATAATCTTTCTCGATTTGCTCAACAGGTGAAAGTCTAACGGCGGAATTAAGGCGATGGTTCACGGTAGGGCAAGGAAAACCAAGCAACCTTTTTAGTTTCCACCGCAACCATTGGGCTACTCAAAAACGACAATGCGTTATAATTCTTTTCGGCAGGGACAGGAAACACGGACGCGCTGGCGAAACTCGAACCAACGGCTGGTTTGGTACGAGAAAGGTGGGTGGGAAAAGTAGTAAGTAGGAGGAAAATATAAAGGTAAAAATAAACAGTCGCAAATATGATGGTTTGTTAAGTACGCTGCTTCAGTTTACGGAGCGAGTGACAATTCTAGAAATAGTGTCATAGCATATGTGTCCCAAAATGTCTAGTGAATCGCTAGCGACTACTAAGTGACTAATTCCGTGAGTCTATAACGAATCGACAATGGCTGTTATGGCTAACCAATTATCACAGTTAACTTACAAGTTATCAATTGTTTTAATTGATAGGTTATTGAAATATGGACTTATTGGACATCGAAACAATGGTTATTGAAACGCTAACCTCAACCATAACCCCCTAGTTGTAAAACCTAACCATAAATCCCAAATGGAATCGCCAACAGTTTATAATCTAAATCCTAAACCCCCACTAAACGCAAACTCTAGGCCCGCTGGCACTGCGTCAAGCGCAACAGCTACCCCCCCCCCCTCACCCATCCTAAAGCCCAACCTAAGTCCGTAGCCCAATCTACGAGCCGGCTCCAGCGGCAAACTACACCGCCGTACCTGCGAAGTGATTTTCCAAGAATGCAAACACACCTACCGAAAATAATGTCAGTAGTAACGCCAAAAAGAAATGAACTAGTGCGGCCGCGTTGTCAGCCACCACTCTCTTCAAACAGATCCAGACTTTACAGCAACCCCGGAGGGAAAAGCCTACGAGGCCCGAGATATCCGAGACCAATTTATGTGGAATGGCTGTCCGAGGGCGTTTGTAAGCCGATGCCTACGCGCTCGCCCACCGTACCCGAACAGAAACACCAGCTTGGGATAGCGTATCGAATCCTGTTCCCAGACTTGCCTTGTAACTACGCAGATCAGACTGGACGCATTCTCAGGTAGCGCACATACGAACATAAGCTGGTCGTGCGACAATAATACTAACACTGGAAATTAGCGCAAGGTAGAAGCATTTACCTGCTACAGTGTCTTCTGACTCAAACTAGTGAAAGACGATGCTTACAAAGTGGCCAGCGCTATTGTTACGCCGCATTGTAGGAAGACGCAGCCCTTCCCCCCCAAGGCTTACCTTTGTGGACAGCAGCAATGTGTTTCTTCAGGTGACACGTCTGCAGAAAGCTCTTGTCACATAGCTCACATGCATACTTTCGAAGTACTGAAAGGCAGAAAAACACGGCTTAACCGTACAAGGTTGGGTTGGGTCTTCCGTTAAGGAATAAAGTTGTAAGCTGATAGCAAATCGCAAAACGAACAATGAGACATAAGTGAATCCTACTCTAGGCGCGACCTAAAAGGTCTCAGTGAAGAAGCCTGCGATTTGGAAAGACTCTATTTCCCTTGTTTGCGGAGGCAACAGGAGCCTAGGTTGAAGAAATGGGCAAACAGCGATTATTAAGTCACTGTGAATACTCTGTTCCGGAAATCTCCATTCAGTAGCCTGGATTTGTGTAAATTAGTTGCCCTCAATGGAAAGTCTATAGGCATTTTACCCAGTGAACAATGGCGCCTGCCCGCCAAGGGAGGCGGCGATGCAGAACGGCATCATCAAATAGAGTCCAAAATTGCCTAGTAATCACCTATCCACTGACAGGGACTAGTCAACAGACGAACCTAATACTCGGAGTCAGATTAAATGACACGGGCCAACGAAAAGTGGCAGGGTCGGGAGAAGGTAACGGCAGTTTGACTGTCGTGCCCTACAATGTCCACCGTGTGCGCTGCAGAAAGGTACAACAGGCCCGGTGGCTTGCGCGTGAATTAGTTTGTAGAGGGTGTAGACTTGCGCCGCATCTACCGCACTCTCCCCTCCCCCCACCTAGGTCCGGTGCCAAGACATAGTCAAGAAGACCGGGTGCAGATGGTTGGAACACCTGAGACGCATCCAGGCATACCACCACGCTGCCTGGTCTACAACAAACACTTAATCAGGACTTTAACCAAGAACAGCAAAACCACAGCGGGACGGAAGGACGAGGATGACTGGGCAGTCGTGCTCACAACCCGTATAACCGGCGGGAGCGCACGTCCATCTGCCGGCAGGGAACCAGGTTTCGGAGAACTGCCAGCGCATACCAGACTGTGAGGGCTTGATTTGCTGATACTGACATGGGGAACGCCTACAAACCTTTAGGCCCTGGAAAAAGTAACACTGAAGGACTGCCAAACACGGCAGGTTGGGCGAAAATCAACACATATTAGACGTTCACTGGGGGTTGGGGCCATGGGAGGAACTCAGTACCACGTGAATCGAAAAGCCCTCGAACCGAACAGAAGATCTAATAAGAAGCCTACACACAAAAGAGAACCCATGGCGAACTTGAAAAGAGGAATGCGCCGTGACGTTCGCTAACGTAGTTTGAGGACAAAAAATATTCTATAAACTCGTGGGTGATGCTGGAAAAAGTACCGGGTCCCGAGGACTCAGGATCATGCTTAGGCAGTGTCAAGTGGGAATCTGTGTCAGAAGAATCAGTCAAAAAGTCGGCGGTAAGTCTGTGCAAGCGTAAACATAGTTTCAACGCTTATGACAAATAATACCGCATAGGTGACGTAAAATTAAGGTACACATAAAACTTAATAAGACGCAATTACTAGTTCGAAATAATCATATATCAAATGTACGCGCCATAAATGCCTAAATGTGTTCTTTCATACGGTGAATTATAGACACTTGAGTTAGGTCACAGGCCAAAGGACTCCACTTCAGTTCAGGTCGAAAGTCTTAGATTTTGAAAGCTATTTCCGAACTTCAACCAGTGGTGGGCTAGTGTGGAGATAAGTGGAAATCACACCTAAACACGTGGGGGAGAATGTACTGGCATAAACCGAAAAGGCTGACTTTTTCCATGAAAAGCAGCATGTGTGACAAGGGCGAAGAGTTAGTTTCTGACATCAATATGACGATTCCACTGAAAATGACCACCAACTACCATCGCCGGGCAGTCACCAATGGACCGCTAGTAGAATAACGGCGATGACAAAGAAAATACAGAGGAAGCCACCCCCACCGTGGTTGACATCGCCCTGTCTTCTCTGCGATGTTTCCCACATGAACTTTGAATTGTGCGTCACGATAAAGGTCTGCCTAAGATCAGATTCCCAGCGGGAAACTCCATTTAATAAACTAATAAATCAAAAGATCAGTCATAAGGTCTGACGGGCCCACGAGGGAAGAATGACAAAATTCAAACGACGGCAGAGGTGTTGGCAGAATTGAACAACGCTTACATGAATGGAAGTCATCTCCAAAAAGGTTTGCGGGTTCTTCTGCCTCCCTCTTGAGAAAGCACCTTTCTGTGACGAAAAGGTAGCGGGTAAAAAAGCAGTTACGAACCTGACGTGTCAACCTCCACGCTTTCTACTACACTAGATGTTTTGGCAGAAATGGATAAGCATGTCGTTGCATTTAATTCCCCAGTTGGCGTAGTTGGGCGACTCACAGGTGGCAATCCTCTATCTTGGGCAGTGGTTGGTAGAGACAAGGACGTTGGGGATGGCGATGACGACTGCGACTCACCGTCGTGGTTTTGTCTATCGTCTTCACCGGGTCCAGATTCTTTTTGTTTAATGAGTCGCCGGCATTGGTGCTGTAGGCAAAACCAACCTTATGGAGCCCAAAGTAAACCTTACAGGTCGATCAGGTCGGAATGACTCGGAAATCTACAGCACATAGTTATGTCACACAGACTGTTGACATTACCTTGCAATCTGTAGGCGCGCTCTTTTCCTTGACTGCGGTTTCTTCCTACAAAAAATATGTACGAAAAAACACTGATAGGCAATCGAAAGCCCTACGTAAAGGAGGCGCAGATTATGCATTAATCCGTCGGCGTTAGAGGACGAAATTGCCCTGCGTGTTGATTTGCTGTACAGGGTTTTTCTGAAGGGGTTTTAACGTCAGCAAACCTGATTTGCCAGACTTCAAAATTTTCCATCAAACGAATAACTCAAAAGCACAGTCCGCCAACTCTCTGGGAAAGGCGTCCACGCACTGATCTGCCTGGAAACCTACAGAAGGGCCTATCGGGGGTACAGATGCCTTAACTTCTTTCGACACAGACGCGACTGTTATCTCAACTAGCAGGGTAGAGGGACGCTCACCGACCGTGTTACGGAACTCGTTGGCCTTATTGTGCCTGTTGGTGAGAAGTCAAACGTCCTAACCAACAGGTCACCGGGTCGAGTCCCAGGTGCTGCAGGCCTCAGGGTTGGGCATGGTTGGCTGATGACGGCTAATAAGTCAGAAATTACGACACCAGTCTCCTTTGTCCTTGTCGGTAATATTACTCTGGTCGACTAGCATTTTCATATGTGCTTCTTACGGTATTCAGCCAGCTCCATTTCACAAGCTTGCCGCAACAAGTTTCATTAGTCGGTCAGCAAAAATGAGCTAGCCAGCGTGCGAGTTGCAATGACTGCGAATCGCAGAGGATCAGACATACGATCGAGGTCAGGTTTCATTGCATTCGCCAAAGACGCCATCAACGGCAAGAATTAGGTTCAGGCAATATGATATCTCAGATAATTTGGCCTGTAAATCGATGCAACGCGTGATCGAGCTAGAGCATTTTGTCAGTAAGGCAGGTGCGATTGGAGGTATGACGTCAAGATGGACTACAGAGGCATTCCTTTGTGAAGCAATCTTTGAGACGACAAAATATTTTATGGACACTGCATGCCTTCCGAGCGCACGAGTCAGATGTCATATCTGCATAGTAAAGTGGACTTGATGCAGGCCTTATATCCCTGAAGCTTGTTTTCACGACAATTCTAGGTTTGAACGAAGACTAACGAAGAACATGTCGGTTTAGTTAATCGTCGTCTTATCCGCCCGACAAAATAGTCAAATGCTGGTAACAGAAATTGTAAGCCAACCAGACTTTCACCGTCTTCCTGACTGGGCAGACATTTTATACCGAGAGTATGCAGGAAGCCGTCCTTATCTTAGAACTTTAATCGCTGGCTTATTTTTGCTGTGTTTGCACTGTGCCAATGCTCTGACCACTAATCAATGTAACTTCGGAGTGGTCTGCCGACAGTTCAACCGGCGTTACCGTGTGCCTCACAGCAGGCTGCGAGCAGGCATGATGACTTGAGCGTGCATTAATTTATATTGAGAGTAGACTTGCGCATCATCTACCGCACTCTCTCTTCCTCTACCCGGGCCCGGTGTCAAGACATAGTCAAAGAGACCGGAGGTGGGAGGGACCGCAGGTAGATGGCATGGCGACTCACACTGACAATGGTTCTTATTCGGTGTAGTTTCGGTCCACCAAATTTTTGCAGACAGGGGTAGACTCCGACAAAAATCCAACAATAAGTTTTTTGTAACAATGGTGTTTAGAGGGTTCAAATGGACAGAAGTGCTGATCAACGCAGCCCAACATGGTTGACAGTCGCACAAGGGGGATCAATTAAGGCAGAGAATGGCTACAACGACTTTAGCGGCAGCATCAAGAAAAAGGTGTGCAACAACAGCTCTTACACGGATATCTATCATACGTCCAACCAATCGGCGCAATAATAGGGGCGCCCACTTTGTCATCATGGTCTTTCACTAATGTGAGTCAGAAGGAACAGCAACGGGTAAATACTTACACTCGAAACTGCTGTGATCGTGCTAAACCTAGTCAACCACGATGATGTCGCAAATTGTACCTCTCAACGCCTGGCGATCTACGGCGGCAGATTTGGAGAGCTCAGCCTATTCTTTCCACCAACGATGAAGGCCAAATATGCAAGACCCAAGCGCCATTTCTACGTCTTGGCAAGTTGTCAATAGAAGCGAAGAGCCGAGTCCCAGGAAGTAGTCTTGAAGAAGGAGACACGATCGCCGGGACAAGAGCTTTATTAGCCTGACGTTTCGTATTCCTACTCGAATCAATCATCAGACACAAAAGAGCAGAAATGTTTCTGCTCTTTTGTCTCTGATGATGAATTCGAGTAGGAATACGAAACGTCAGGCTACTAAAGCTCTTGTCCCGGCGATCGTGTCTCCTTCTTCTTGACAAGTTGTGTCGGGCCAGATCTTGAGTTAGCCAGTTGGGCAAGAACACCAAAACAAGGGCATCAATACTGAACTTATGAGGCGGGCAACGAAGGGCGTCCCCAAACCATCGTCATCTTTTTTGAATGGTCTGAGATATCCTCGCGATGTTTTCACGGCGCGCGGACTGTCTCGGTTGAGACAAATTCAGTGTAATTTACTAGAGCTGCGATGGCCAAACACCCCCAGTTTTCGGCCAACCTCCACTTGGACAGTACGTCCCAGTCCAGGAAGACCGGTTCCTCGTTATTCTGGCTGCTGTTTAGTGGGCGCGTCCATGAGTGGCGACAACTGGAACGGCCTTCAGCGAAAGTTTGCAGCAAAATAAGCAGGTTATAGGGTCTAGTGAATAAACAGTCAAAAACCAGTAACGACACTGCTATTAGGGTGCTGAGTTCTGAGGTCTGGCACGCCGACTGCGCAAGAAAATGTCCCAACGCAGTGATATGGCAGCCGTAAACCATCATTAAACAAGTTTACTTGCAACTGAACCCTTATGGATACGTCGAGCAAAAGTCCTAGGGCAAAAAGCCTCGAGTCCCCAAGAAACTCCATGAATGAAGTGTGTCATTAGTCAATTATTGCTGCAGCGCTGCAGTTGTGGGTTTTCGACGAGGAACAATCACCGCCAGGCGTTTCGTTGTCCTTCGCCTTCGTTATTGCATGAACTCTCCTAGGCAGATAAAGGGCGGTATTAGAAGTCATATTCACTACAGTTCCTATCCTTGCGGTTACGCCTGTCGTGGCCTAGCACCGCCTGAGTGAGTCCAACAAGTGATATCAACGGTAACTGAAGTCTTGAGATCGAGGACTGAGAGATTTTAGAACTGAAGTCTAAAACATTAAAGCTAAAATAGGAACTTCAATGTATCAGCTCTTTTAATCGATAATATGAGGGGCTAAAATTAAACTTAAAATGCCCCCTCTACGACTATTTAAAAAGAGCCATTGGTGGTGACCCAAATGATTTCTACAGGTGATGTCAGTTAGGTCCGCGCGGTTAAGAAGAATGAAGGACTGCAGCTACATAGGCTGACACTGAATCATCTAATTGTGTGTGAAATTCGGAGGGCATGGCATCCCAAAATGAGTGCTATTTCGTCAAGAAGACTCAGTTGAAGATCCATGACAAAGCTGAATTTCTCCATATTTTCTTGCAAACAGTCAAAAAAGGATAGCGAAATTATCATGTTCGCGGCTGAAAAGCCATGAAACTGCGGCCCTACTGGTTGCTCGCCCAACGTGACCCTGTTTCGATTTTAGGGTAATCGTATTTTGGGGCAGGCTGACAGAGAAAAATACACCAAAAATACCCACTGCAGTCATCCGCCACTGCGGTGCCTTAAAGGCTTCCTATGCAAAGTTTGCGAGGCAAGACTAAACTAACAAGCCACAAGTACGATCATCAGTTAATCAGCTGAAAACAATTTGGAAGACGGGCTTGATTTCTAGGGAGCCATTTAATTTCCTTCGCCTTCAAAAACAGTGTTTGTGAACCTAACAAACGCTCAGAACTCAGTGAGGGACTTACTGGCACCGGAGGCAAAAAATGTACAGTGATAGAACCGTCACTGACATAATTAAAGATCATCCGCCTCCTTTTCGGTCCATCATAAGAGATGCTGACCAAAAGTCTCGCAAAAGCGGCGCTCTGGCTACTGACCTACACAAGGGGACAGTTCGCGCTTAGAATGCAACACGTCACGATACCTTTAAGTTCTGTCGACTAGCCAGGGCCATCTTCCAATGAACATTTACAAAAAAATCATTTTGCAGACCATGTGCCAACACATGATATCTGCCAGCAGCAGACTTACTTTTCCCATGGCGAGCCATTGAAGGACACATGAACGGCTGCGGGGGTAGGAGGTGACTGTTTAACGATCCATAACCTCCACAGAGGTAACGCTCAGCTGCCCCAGAACCCGGTCAGTCGACCCCTACTTTCGGCTATAGATTTCCGGCAGCTGGAGGCTAGACTAGAGGACGAGGATTTTCAACGTATTCATTGCAAACTGCATTCAACTTCCTCCCTTGCATGCCTCGGCGGCAGAACGACCGATAATTTTGTCAAGAGCAATATTCAGTAGTCGTCTGAAGATGAGATCAGCGTCAACCTCAAATTCAAAGACTGGGAAATTAAGAACGACCTCGCTGGGGCGTAAATAAATCGAGTTATTACCGCTATCTATGCAATTATGTAGGTGACCACTCAGTGCGTGGGGAGCGCAAGTTTGTCTGGCCTAGAGTTTGCGATCACCAAGTGCCTAACATGACCGCTTGATAGCTTTGGACAACAAGCGCAGAAAACTCAAAACGCTACTTAATCGACCGGTATGTGGCTTTCGCACACTTTTTAAAGAAATTAATCCTGCCCTACATAGGAAGAACCCGGACCGTCGTCGGGTAACCTAGCTCCTCCTCCAAAAAGTTCCGGGGACAACTGCTCCGATAATCAGTGATGAACACCGTCCAAGTCATGTGCACATGGTATTTTTCTATTCACTTGTCAATATTGCTTTCCGATTTTGACCGTCTTCCCAGTAATTGTCCACCGTTGCTGCATTCATATAAACGTTCAGAAGCACGTATATTTGAACGGATGGAATGGGACGGACTGGAATGGGTAACAAGAGTAGATTGCAATGGATTTCAGAAAAACACAGGTATTGCATCAGGGAAAAGTTTATTGTATGATCCACTACGTACCGTTTTGGCCGTGTCCGGGGCATGCAGAACAGTTGATATCTACTTGCTATCCATGTTTTCGAAAAAAATCGACATCTACGAAACATCGAGCAGATAAACCACGGCTAAAGCCCTAAGAGGGTTGAGGGAAGGAGATGTGTCCGAGACGGGACGCTGTCTATGGAGGTTTACACTGTACTGTTCGAAGTAAGATACTACCACTTTGCCCATAGCCAACTACAGGACTCGCTGGGTATGGATGGGAAAGGACAGTGGCAGAATCTTGTAGCCGGTCATCGGGGAAGACAACCGTTCAGGGGTTGACGTACGATAGACGGTTGCAGTATTCCGGCTGCGGTATTGGAGCCATGCACTATAAGTGGTGACGTATTCCAACCGGAGTTATCGCTAAACGCACCAGATGGAGAAAGATTAAAGGAGTTGAAATGGCAGTGTTGGTATTTTTCGATAACTCTAGTTTTCGATAACCCTGCTGCAGGGACGGTCTAGAGTTGGATAGCAGTAAACACCCTGATCAGCTCAGCCATCATGGCGGCTACCGACTTACTGTGAGCAAGCCGTGCTGCTGCGTGCGTGAATAAGTGTAAAAATGCACTTTACGCGGGCAAAGAGTCTGACCCCACGACTAATTATGCGAATTCCTGCAGTACGTAACTCCAGGCCTTTAGTAGCAACCTCAACACGGAACAGTCACAATCGCACTTATGAAACAAGGCGTGCGCGGGTATGCAAAACTGAGGCTGTTCGCGCCTGTCCGAGACCGCAGCGACTTCGGAGCCACTGTAGCCGACAACTTGACGGCAAAATGTTATCAGGGACAAAGCACAAAAACGCATAACTATGAAAAATAAAATTTACAATGACAGACCCTTTAGACTGAAAAACTTAATCTGCACGCAACAATTAAACGCACCTGTTTTATTCCCACTAAAAATAATGTAGGGTCTGGACTTGACATCTTGTGAGAAGAAAGTCGCCAATTGTCCTACACGCTTGCATTTCAGCCTATTAAAATGCACTGTTTGTGACGTATCAAAATTCTAGTAAAAGCGAAAAGGTTTTTCACAAATGCTGAAACCTCTGTTCAGATCAAAACATAAAATGTTTAGGGGCAAATTGGAGAGTTAGTAGGCTAACGGCAAACGCGTTCACAATAAGAAGGTGAGATGTGCAACTGTTGACAACGAGTGTATTCTCAATTTAAAAGACAAGGAAGATGGATTTGGCTGGACAACCTCTTACTTCATCTAGAGAGCGTACAGACGACGCAGTCCCAGAGGTAACAGCTGTTTTAGCCGGCCGAGTGCAGACGTCGGAGCATAAGACACGACGTGAAGTGCATTCGTGCTGCCAGCTAATGGAGCTCTCATTGTCTTTTCTTGAAGATACGCTAGTGAAAATGTCCTTAACCTGCATTTCCCTGCTAATCCATGCCCCCAGCACTATGTAGGGCTAGGCCGGTGCTATACGCGGCAAGGCTCTATGCAAATTTTGTAAAATAATGCCCTTCGTAGTGAATTCTCTGTGTACTATGTGTCGCACATTTTACGTTCATATAGCTAAATATATGCTGTGTGTTCTACAAAAACATTTGGAAGCGAGTAGATTTGAAAGCGGATCATCCTTCTCTGGACTAATTATCGCCTTCGTTTATGTGGGTCGTTTACACGACCACGCGGAGGACACTTTTACACTGACTGTGTGCATGCCAGGTCGATATTATTGTTCAAATGACTTTCGAGATCCACATTAAGGAGACTACAGTATGTATTCCGTTTTCCTTTTTACGCCTGTATTTGATACAATCTATCATTTTTCTGAGTAAATGTCGCCAGAAGTCGACGTAGACCCATAGATACAAATTGCACACCTTCTGACTGGCTTATTGTTGTGTTCACTGTCGTATCATTTTTTAATCAACTTTGCACAGTTCTGTTGGCTTAGTTTATAGTTTGTATTGTTTAGTCCACCTACACAAGAATGCCAGTCGTTTTCGAATGCTGGACAATTTTTATGCTTTCCCTTTCACGTCTTATTTACAAACCCAGCGCAGTACTATCAGACGCCCTACAAATGCAGCGACGCTGGCGTACAAACGTTACTCTAAGAGACGTTTGCCTTTATTGGTCAGAATATGTCTAATAGTTTCACCAGTCTAAATTCCCTAAATTTGAGCGTACACCTTCTTTACGGTTTATTCAGGCGATTTCCTACTTTGGTAACTGTCCTAGATAGAGTTCGCGCACCCGACCGTGTTTTTATTTTAGATGCTTCTAATTTGGCATCGACGGCTTTACCAAATAGAATCAGATTCACTTTATTAAGGGACTCAGGCTTTAGCCATTGAACTCCCTATTCCTATTCGAAAATACTAAAAAATCAGTTCTCGCAGCAGTATTTCTGCAAATTGTATACTCAGTGGTAGGTGCAAAGCAGGCGCATAATGCCACTACTGACAATATCTACATTATATGCTCGACAGTTTCTTGGCAAATAAGTATCCAGCTTACATACGAGCGTCTCCACAGTTTCTGAAAGGGCCACAGCATTAGGGCGTCCGTTTCGTGCTCCAACGATCCTCTGCAAGGCGTTTTGACGTACATACATGTATACCAAATTTCTCTACAGTTTAAATGATTTATTACGCAAGCGGTCCGTCCCAGTCAGTCGGAAGAAGTCGCAAAATCTAGGACCCACTCACAATCTAGACAACCCGAAAGGTTTGAATGAGGTCACCTCGCAGTTGCCTGTAAGTGAGAGGAACAAAACTAATCCCAACCTGTCTGGTTTGATAAGGCAAATGACCAAGATTCTTGACCACCTTCTTTGCCCTCGCCTGAACTCCATCCAGCAATTATTAATCCTCCTTAAAACACGGACACCATGCTTGGACGGCATACTCCAAGACAGGCCGAAAGAACAGTTCGTTGTAAACCTCTATTCATTCACGCTTCAGCAGAAACAATTCCTGTATCGTGCACTTAGGTCCGGGGGCTTTGGCGACGAGGTTGTAAGAACAACCTGTGTCTTCTTTTTCTTAATATTTGAAAGGTGCGCCCCATCAAGTAGATGTCGAAAAACACTCCACTTCATTGGTCTTTCTGGTACGGAGTCTTAGGATCGCACACCAATCAACGTCAAAATTTAAGAGTCAGAGAAAAGTGTGCTTGTTTGCGGCAGGTCTGATGGCTGTCCACAGTTTACAGTCATTGGCAAACATAATGGAGTTGCAACCAATGTTGTCGACATGGTCCTTGATGATGACTGGGAAGTGCAAGAGCTTTAAGACAAAGCCCTAGAAGATACTACTTAAAACGATGGAAAGGGGTGACTTTGAGGCATCAGTGTGGACAGTTTGTGAGCTCTCCGTAAGGACGTCTGGGATTTGCGTCGGCAGCTTTCCCCTTATTCCAATTCCAGATATTTTGTCAAGAAGACGTTTTTTAGACGTTGTCTAGCGTCTTCTAGAAACCAATGTAAATGGCGTCAACCCCGCCGGTGTCTTTCCGTACACGAGTCCGACAACAACACAAGACTGAATGTAACGAAATCGTCTAAAACGATCCCTAGTCGTCCTCTGAATACCTCTTTGAGCAAATTGCCCCGCTCATGAATGTTAATCTGTTCTTTATCATGTTAAGGTATGCCCTGCGTGTTTTCCGCTGAACAATCATTGTTTTCAGACGTTGAAAATACAGCGGATATTCCCATAGTATCGCAGCATGGTCGTGTCTACCGCGAGGCGCGTTGGAGCACATTTTGGCAATGTTAGGAACGTCTCCCGGATAAAAATTGGTCCAGGTATCCTTTTCTCTCTTAGTCTTTAAACATCGTTGGTGCTTTTGGATTCTCTACCAGAGGTTTTTTAGCGTGAGGTGCGTTAGCCTTAAGCTGGCGCACGGTTAACTGCCAGATTTCCGCAGTCTACAAAATTTCAAAGAAGCAAGTCGTCGCATCCGGACGGTATACTAGCCAAATTCTTGAAGGAATTGGCCATCGAACATCTATCAAACATCTTTGATTCGTAATTTGAATTAGGAAGGCTGCCATCAGAATGGAAGACGGCAAATACCTTTCCGATATACAAGGATGGGGCTCGCACTAGTGCTAACAAGAACCGGTCCGTCAGTCTCACTTACATCTGCTGCAAAATAATTAAAGCCGTATTTAAGCAAGCAACAGTGGAGTTCCTAGAGCAGAGTCACTTGTTCTCAGCACTGCAGCTCGTGCCTGTACAGTTTATTGCTCTCGGCTGAGCAGTGGACTCGCGCACCGGACGAGGATGGTAAAGTCGATGTCATCTGCACGGACTTCAAGAATGCGTTCGATAACGTCCCACACCAGCGCCTAATCTACAAACTGTCTGAAATTTGAAGAAGAAAAAAGGTACTGACATGGATCGCAGATTTTCCGGCAGGAGATCACAAACCGTGTGCGTTGATGCCTCGAATTAAACTCCTAAATTCGTTTTGGGTGGTGTCCCCCAGGGTTCCGTCTTAGGGCAGTTGTTATTCCCAGTTTACATTAACGACTGTGTCGACGATCTGAACTGCAACGCCACCATATTTGCTGACGATTTTAAGCTGTGAGAACCATCTTATATGACGCAGACAGGTACGAGCTTTAGGAGAGTCTCAACCGGCTGAAAAAGTGGTGAGTCCGTTGGCTTCTCAATTTTAATGTTGACAAATGTGTGGTCCTGAGTTTTCGATCCAATGGATCAGTAAGGAGGATGATTTCATTTAATTCGTCCTTGACTGGCAGCCCCTTTCAAATGTTGCGGACCAAACGAACATGGCGTCCTAATGACCTCATCCCTTAAACCTTCGTCACAGTGTCAAAATGCAGCCAAGCGCGCGATACGGGTGTTATTTGTGCTAAGGCGAGAATTCGTGCAGATCGACAAAGGGCTGTGCGGAAAAACCTACGGGGCATTTGTTCGGTCTCACTTAGAGCATGCAGTGCAGGCCTGGCGACCGTGGTTGAAGAAGGATTGTCAACAGCTAGCAAGAGTACTGACAATGGCTAGGAAGATGGTCGTGAATCTTAATCATCCGCCTTACAAAATCATACTGGCTGAAACGAATTTATTTCCCCGCAATTACAAACAACTGCGCAGCGATCTCATACAAACCCACCGGATTATCATAGGTCGTCAGAGCGCCCTATACTTTGACGAATTCTTTAAATTGGCTGGGACTGACCGTCTGCGTGGTCATCCCTTTGAATTGCTGAGGAAGCTGACCCATACGGACGTCGACGGAACACCTTCTCGCAGAGGATCATTGAAGCATGGGAGGGACTCTCTGATGCAGTGGTCCTTTCCGAAACTGTGGAATCCTTAAAATGCAGACTAGACGATTATTTGCTGAGAAACAACTACACACATACTCACGATTGTGTTAGTGATGGCGGTTTGCGCCTGGCTCATACATACCGATAAATGTGGGATTACCAGATTTGCAGATGTAAAAAGTGACTCTAACTATGTTTATCTTTATGAATAGGGAACTCAAATGCGTTGAAATCTTCAGCACTAAGGACATCTTCGCGGCTAGCTACTGCCTAAACAAAATGGAAGGGCAAATCTTCAGCTGCACTAGGATGGTTTGGTTGACTGCAAGCCGTCAGGATTTTGAGGTTTTCGACGTTGCTCTTTGCTATCTAAATCCAGACGGATTTTTATTCGAGGTGAAGGGTTTGCCGTAAGGCACTGAAATTCACTCCCATGCTTGTCACATTCTCGTATATGTCAGGACCTCGTCCAACTCAGATTAGGTGTAGTGCTCTTACAACTGTTATGTCAGCACTATATGCGTGCGACATCAGTTCAGTGTCCTTGATATGTAAGTTAGCACACCTCAACAGTTAAAATGAAAGGGTGATTAAGTAGTCAGATTTTAAGGAATGAAACAGTCACGTGTTGTGTGGTAACTCGGTAATATTATTGCATGGACCGCCATCCATTAACCTTTTGTCTAATTCTACAAACAAAGACGGCTTCATTCTTTAAAACCAGTGTTTGCAATCCACAAGAGAAATAAAAGCTTTGAAGACGGTCTATACTTGTTCGGACCTGTGACTTGCATGCAGTACCTTTGAAAGAAAACGACGTCTTGTACGGGAAACAAATGTAACGGATTCCAAACTGGGCAACATCGTCAGAACCTGCAGTATGGCCTACCATATTTAAATCACGCGGAAGATTACAAAATGAACCCAGTGCGAGTTGGAACTATTATTTCTATCCTGTTGGTGGAATATTCCAGAAAAACACCTAACTTCAAAGCCGCGCAAAACACGTGCACGGCAGCTCTGCGAGAGCAGAGAATGTGAAAAAATGTAGACTGAAAGGCAGAAAATACGTAAAAAACGAAGTAGTTTTTTTCAATTCAAACGAAATATCACCGGAATAAGTGGCTTTGACAGACTCAAAAACAGTCTCACGGGCTGAAAGTGGTATTGCTTTTATCGCACGCATGCGGCGGAATATGCTTTGAAGTATCCAAGTGATAAAAATGACTTACTTGTTAAGCACAAAATGGCACCTCGGGAACCGAAGATGTTCTGATTTGCAAAATCAGCTATTTTAAAGGATTCTAATATCTGCAGAACCATCCCTGAGCATTTGACCAGATGCATAGCCGTGTCTCCGCACACGAAAACCAAATTCGTGCGATATTTGTCGGGATAAGTCGCATTATTACGGGGCCGTATTGCTTAGGTAGCATCGAACGAGAATCTACGGCCTTATTAATTACTCGTGCATGAATATCTGCGTTATGTCCATTAAAGAGTTATCTCTCTCCTTCGACCCGTATTCTTAGTGAGCTGAGCAAGCACGGAAGCGCTAAAAGGACTGTTTGTCAATACTGCAAAAATTGGACAAAAATCTGTCGTTCTCTTAAGTCTTCTCTAACCAGTACAGAAGCCTTGTTTGCTTGCGTGTGCGTCAAACAAATCGGCCTGAGTCTGATGTAAGAATGTTTTTGAGACAATCATTTTGAATGACAGCGAGCAACTTAAGTCATTGTTTTCCAGCACTCAATCCATTAACATGCCCAACCACCTATCTCGTTCATACTAGTTTCCTATGAATATGCCTCGGAAGAGTGCCTCGTGTTTCGAGAACAGTACCAGCGAATACAATTTTTAATTAAAATATCGATGGACATGATTGCTGTGCCATCATCACAAAAGCTACCAAAAACTGGGGACAACGTTCTGGATTTTGACGACTCGCGTCTGGGCTATGACATCATTATACCAAATGCATTGACCCGTGCAATGAATGAGAGCGGAGTGGAAGAAGAGATATGATGTCACTCAGAAACTGCATCAAGTCATGTGTTATCACGACTTCTCACGATCTCCCTTCAGCATTTCAGTCTCCCCTAGTCAAACAGATATTGCGTGTATTCGACCATTGGGCAGGCACATCACCGAACTCATGACCGCCGTAGCCAAATGTCATGTCTTGATGGCCGTAGTAGAAACTGCCGTCTTCACTGTTCCAGGGCCCCAGTCGATAAGTGAAACCAATTAATTTCAGTTAATGACTGATCCAGGCTACGAAATGTGGTTGTCCAGTGTACATTCTTATATATATGTATATAGGGATGACAAAAATTTTTCTGTTTATTGTTACGATGAATGAGGGACTTAAAATGATCTCTGCGTAGGATTGCTTACTCATCTATCTTTTTCCATTCACACCTAACTGAATTGCTGGAAGGAGATCGTGAAAAGACGTGATAACAGAGATACTCAGTGATGGTTCTGTAGATACTAGAATCCTTTAAAATAATTAGTGTTACAAATCAGAACATCTTCGGTTCCCGGAGGTGCCATTTTGTGCTTAACAAGTCAGTTGTATCAGCCTGATACTTCAAAGCATATTCCGCCGCCTGCGTGCGAGAATAGCAATACCGCTTCCAGCCCGTCAGACTGTTTTTGAGTCTGTCAAATCTACTTATTCCGGCGACATTTCGTTTGAATTGAAAAAAAACAACATCGTGTTTTGCGTATTTTTTGCCTTTCAGTCTACATTTTTTTACATTCTCTGCCCTCGCAGAGCTGCCGTGCACATTTTTTGCGCGGCTTTGAAGTTAGGTGTTTTTCTGGAATATTCCACCAACTGGATAGAAATAATAGTTCCAACACTCACTGGGTTCATCTTGTAATTTTTGTGCTATTTAAAGATGGTAGGCCATACTGCAGTTTCTGACGATGTTTCCCAGTATGGAAACTGTGCACACTTTGCGGGAAATAGGTTTATCTTAAACGTGCACTGGTCACTGTTTCCTCGGCGATGCTGTATTCTGGGTTAGGAATTGAGGCAAATTAATTCACAAATTCTGCCTTCACAGAATATAATATAGTCTTGCCGCATAAAGGCGACAGTTTTAAGCCGCATCCGGTTTTGCCGCTGTTGGTCAAACAAAAGAGTCGTATTTTATCCTACTGAGATTAATTCAAGCGCCTCAGACTATTTACAATGAGGAATATTCCCCCAAAATTCGACCTCAGTCATTCTCCCTACTCGCATACACAAGCTGATCCTCTGAATCTTTTGCGAGTGCTCATATGTTGTGCTGCTGTTTGCCAACGACGCATTTTATCCCACTTAATTCGTCTTTAATTGAAACGGATGAGTTTAAATTATCTGCAATTGCGAGACAATCCTGGAGCAATGAAATGACCCGCTCTCATTACCATAGTTGAGACACGACCATAGTTGGGAGCTTCTCTACGGCTGTCGTTAGTTCAGTAATCTGCTTGCTCAATGGTCATATGCTCGCGATATCTGTTTGGCTTAATTTGTTTTACGTATTCAACTTTACACTTGAACCCGCGCTGGAGACATAAATAGACATGCGTTGGGAAAACACATGGACCGGTGCAGTTGTTAAGTGACGAGCTATAGCTACTTTCAGGTGGCGTAGCAGGTGAAATGATGACACGACTGCCTACATGCGAGCCCTTAATTGCCACATGGTCATTACCGGCGACATTGTAACTGTAAGTAATAGCCCCTCGTCCGTCCCCACAAGAGGATGTACTCTGTCGAGGCAAAGTTGTAGGAATCGGTACGAACGGGAGAGTTCGTCAGGGTTGTTGATGGACTGCGGACCGTAAGATCCTGTCATAATCTGTTTACGGCTTACACGATCGTCATCATTTTCAAGAATTTAGTTTTGTATCCCCCTTGTTTGTCTGGAAATCTTAGTATATTAGCCGCAGTTTAACTTCCTTTGGAGTACTCTTAAGCAAAGATGGCTCCTGTATTTGTCTGACAATTTTAAAGATCATGCAAATATCTTTTTGACAGATTTGGGTAGCCGTGAAAATATGTCTTTCTAACCCCTCTGCGCCATCCAAATTGCTAAAAATGCGCTTCATGTGAAAGGACTCCGAAAAAGCTATTACGTAGGTTTTCCTTCCCAAGTAATAATTAAGGCCGTGGATTATCCTTTGATGTTCCTCTACGCCGAATAGGCTTTACACCAGATTAAGCGTGCGACTATCACAAACACAACTTGCGATTTTTGCATCCCGCAAGTTTATTAGTTTAAGTATTCCAAACAAATGTATAAATGACTGCCGACTTTCCTTGAGACAGTGGAGATACAATAATGCATTTAGCGGAACCGCTGAACCGAGGTTAGGCGCATGTTAGGTAGGTGGACTAACTCATGAAATAACAACCGCAATTCCGACATGCGTTTTCCTTTCAACAAATGAACTAAATAGGATTGTTAAACAAGTCATACTGCAGCATACGTCTATAATAATTCAGATACCTCCGAATTTCGGCTTTCAAAAAGGCTTCTTTGGCTGCATGCAGAAATATACTCTGTAAAAAAGGCTACTTACGTGACATGCACTTCTATCACAGATTTTCGATAGGCTAAAATATTCAATTATATTTAATAAAAATCGTGTTCTCTTGCTCATTCAGTAGACAATTACGCGCTTCTCCAACTTTATACACAAAGGAAGGGTCTAATTCGGTTTCTAAGAAATTTCTAATTGCAAAATTTTTAATACCATGAAATGGCCGTTTATAAAACGCTACGTATCTGCATTTACCAATATGGCTTGTAAAGTCAACAATACGGCTTAAATCCGTCGCTAAATTTTATGAACCCCATATGGTTTCCTCATAATACCGTAAAGAAAGTATGGATTTTCGAACGTGAAAAATATACGGTTTGTAGTTTGGAAACCCTGAATGCAAATGTAACGGCAGGTCGGGGTTTCAAAATTGTTTGGGAATTGAAAAGGTTTTTTCAAACAAAATTAAATTATTTCTTCGAGTATAGAATTGAAAGTAGACGTGATTTTCCACAGAATAAGCAGAAGAATTAATAGCTGTATAGCTGTAATAGCTGTATGTTTTCTATGAAATATGATTGACTTTGAGTTAGCACACCTACTGTACTTCTGACTGCTTGTAGGAAGCTTATGAATACTACGCGGTTATTCCGCAATAGGTGATGGAATTCAGCGCAAATATTTAGATCGATTATCGGACTGAGCCTAGAAAGGCACGTTCCGAGGGATTTACACCAAGTCAGCGCATTTATTTTTTAGGAAATTAAATTTGACAGAATAAATCTGGAGAACACATACCAGTAAGCACACGGGAACGCTGGCGGACCCCCCTGAGTAGGCGAACATGTCGGGGCTGTGTCAGAAAGCGGTACGCGTTTGGTGAGATGCGCGTGTCCGGGCTTTTAACTAGTACCTGTGTTGTCCGTAGGGCAAATAATGACGTAGTTGTTGACCAGCTGTAAACTATTGTATTCAAGACAAGGGTCGACGCAGAGCAAGTACTGGACTTGACTATCGATCACCTGATCTGTTGCAGACGCAGATGCGCAACGACGCTAAATCGGTAAAACGCAGACGCTCTGCAAAGATTCAGAAGAAAGGATTGTCAAATTACGATATCCTCTCTAGGTTGCAACCATCAATCTGTAAGGACTCATAAACATTAACTGCCCAGATACTGCAGACAGCCTTAAATATTCAAATGATATATCGCCGCAATTTGGTCTAAGAAGATTTACAGAAAAGCGAGAGGAGGATTAAAAGACAAAATAAATTAAGGAAAAATATATTAGAACCGCAGCCCTTAGCAGCGAACCAGTTGTGGCCTGTACGTTCACGTCGGATAAGGCATGCATACTGGTTAAAACATAAATGGTTTAGTATTTACTGCCTCGCACCTTTACTACAATAAACTGAAGCAGCATGTCACATACTACCAACCAATTACTTAAGGCTTAAAATTGGTGATAGATACATCTCGATTTTAGGAAAATTATTGTGATGAAATGGGTTCACTGAAGAGCCAAAACCCTCGCAACTAAGCGGCAGAACACCGGTGGAATTCGCGTGTGTGGGCGTTTTGGGAGTATCCGTGCTGCTGGTATGGTATATTACAACACTGAAATATAGTACTAGCTGCCGGTTGGCAGTTAGTGGATATTACACGGTTAAGTCGTTGTGGCCGATGGACTTTGACCAAAATATTCATACATCAAAATTTGGTTTTCGCCTACAGACCTCAGTTTAAGCTGATTTATTTCAAGTTCGCAATGCATTTCTGAAGAAAATAAAAAGCAGCCATTTGTAAACTGGAGTATCTACCAAAAAGCAGACAGATATGCTAGGAGGCCAAACAGGCGTGTCAGGGCCTTTAGCTAGTGCCGGTGCTGCTCGTATGGTATAATGTAACACTAAAACTTCCATACCACCCAATATACAGCAAGTGATGATTCACAGTAAACGAATTTTTGTACGTTTAACCAGTATAAAAATAGCATGCCCCGGAAACCTTTCGGTAGTATAGAGTCTCTTTAAGTCATCTGGGAGCACAGCATTTTGTAAAAGCTTTCAGATCTATAAATTAGGTATTAGTCGTTAAATGCTTGGGATCCCGTATTTCCGCATCGACAGATTTCCTCCGTTTTTCACACCTCAAACTTTAATGTTCCCTCGTCTGTAAGGCTTTTGACTGAGCAAACTCCTTGAACTAAAATTAATCACAAAAGTTCGGTTGCCAAATGAGATGACTCCTTATCTGTCACAGTGTCGTCTATTCGTTAAGGTAATCACATATGATATGGGGTGGAGTACCTGTCGCGCTTGGCGTTTGCATTTTCTGTGCACGTTCTTTGACGACCTTTGCCTCTTGAAAGTCAAAAATAGTCTAAACCGGTAAGTCGTTCACAGTTTCATTGATTTTCCGATTAGAACTTAAATTATAAAGCTAGCTTAAGTTTGCTGATGCGCTTTCTGCATCCAAAGTCACAAAATGCACTTGCGGATGTACAGCGAATTCATAGGCTTGTTAATAATAGGTACAGATAACACCGTCCACTTCTGCAAAACCCTCCCTCCGTGTCTGAGGTCCATGACACAATATTTTAGGAGGAAGTATTTATATACCCATTTAATACACATTAAACAGTAACCGAATAGTTAGAGCGGATCAGTGGTCTGATGTCTGCGTGGTGGCAATAGTATTTAATTCACAGCATATAAAATGAGACGTCAAATAGATATCATGATTTGCAAACATATGGGTGCAATCTAAGTAATAAGCTCAGTAATGTGAACGAAGCAATATTGCTTTGCGCGGCACAGGGGTGAAAGTTTCTCTCGTCTTTGCTGGATCGCACGTCTTGCATTCGGACGTCAAATTAGCAATGTTTCCGCCATTAGATATCTTATTTTCCGATAGGTTAGTCGATATTTTGGAACATTATTATGTAGATGTTGAATTCTAAGGCTTAGCACTTATATTCGTTTTCTCAAGTGCATAAAGACTTTGGGGGCAGACGCTATCAAGCAAAAGTTAATTCAATCGTGGGTAATGCACTTAATGATTTTGACTTGGGAAATTTTCAAACTATAAACCACCAGGTTTTTTGTTTGCTAATAGCGCACATTTGACAAAATCAACCAAGTCACGGGCAAGAAACCAGCATACAGTCTAAAATCATAATTTATCGCGTGCAAATTGCGGTCTTTATTGGCTTTTCTAAATAATAACTATTATGATCTTTCAACGAATGGCGAAATATTGCGCACTGCAAAGATTGTGTCCGTTTTAATAAAACGCTTTTCTAACTCAACCCTTTAACATCCTGAACATACACATTTGAGTTCTATATTTAAAGCTGAAGAATAAGGCATAATTGTAAATTCAACATTTGAAAAATAATTTGTATTATATCGTAGCACGATGTAAGCAAAGGCTTCCATTTAAATCATAATACCATGGCGGTCACGTGTGTTCGATGCCACTTGTCAGTTGGATTCGTTTAAATATAAAAAGTAGTTTCCAGAACCTAATTTTTTTGCACCACCTGACGGCATTTTCAATTATGCCCACCTTGTGGAGAAAGTTTTGTTGCCAAATACGCAAGTATGCAAGATACTCCATAAACTGCCAACTGTGCATCGTGTGGACGCTATGGCATTCAATCTGGCTGAATTTTTGCGATCAACTGGTTTCCTATGCAAGTAGTATGTTGGGCATTTCAGTTTGAATTACGAAGCTCCAGGTGTCCAACAGATGTGTTGGGTTGCCAAGCAATACTTGTTCCCATAAGTTGTTCAAATTAATGCTTATTCCTTAAAGAAATTAATTATGTAATCAAAGTTGTGGACTTCTGGAATCCTGCCTAGTTTGCATCTGGCAATAATGTACGCTTAATGCCAGCAACACCAACAAATGCTGAACTAACCTGGAGTCAACTTAGAATTGCCAAACGATATTATCAACAAGGGGTGAAGGATGCAATCGCAGGCCAAACGAAACGCTTCACAACCACCATCTGAACATTACATTAACTGATCTGGAAACCTCCACAGTGCATGCACTTTCAATTTCAGTAGAGAACCAAAAACCCCACGTTAAAGAAGGTTCAACAGGGAGCATATGTGTCGCCGAAACTAAAGGCAGTGTGCATATCGGCAAATAGGATATTGCATTTAACTATAAGGTCGAATGTCTTATGTGGTTATGAGGATAAAGTAAAACATGCTTCCGAGGAAAGCTGCCAACTGAAGCCTCCGTAGAGGACGCCTATGCAACTTTTTTAAATGTCAAATTCCCGAGTGAGAAAACAATTTTTCGAACGCGGGTAGCTTGGGCAATAAGATGATTCAGTGCACTGAGTGCAGGATGATTTTTTTGAAACTTCAAAGACAGGACTTGGGAACTCTGCAGGTTTCATGAAGATGTGCGTGCATGACGTAAAATGGAAAAGGTGGTGGGTTTATTGTAAGTTATAAATATCCGTTCACGAAGCGCAAAGTTGTGCATTGATTGTCGGGGGAATGCAGGCCTTGGTGTGGTTATTGTCATTAACTTACGCGATCTCGCTAAACGGATATCCGGAAAGTACGTTAATTGAAATTTTAATCTGTTTACGCTGATAAATGATAGCGAGTAAATTATGCTGCGTTCTCTTTATCAAAAAAACTTATTAAAGTGAAATTTGAATATTTTGCAAATTTGGTTTTAAAATAAAGAAGAATTTCGCATTATACAAAAAACCGCATTAATAAAACCCAATGCGTCATGTCATGTTTCGTTCTAAATTTATGCACGAATCTGCGAATTTAAGATCAATTTGAGAGTTGAATATGTGAGGAGGTAAAGAGGCTCAGTTTTTCAATACGATTAGTACGAATCGCTCCCACTTAATTAATATGCCTCAGACTTACTGCAAAATTCATTTGTGCGAGTTATCTGGAGGAGTTGACATACAATTTCTGTCAAATATTATACTGAAAATTTCCGCTAATGCTAAAAATATGCTGAAAATTGTGCAAAATGCCTTAATGGATCTCCGTAGTCAATACTTGGAAGATCTGTAGGCTTCATGCTGGCATGCGTGGCTGACATATAATAGACATCAGCAGGGTACTACATACGGAAATAAATGCAGGACTCTTGCTGGGTAGTCCTGTTATTGCACACAGTCTTGCAAAGCGAAGCTTGCAATACAAAGCAGATTACGTTAATAATTTTGCTTACGCTGATTGATGATGCCGGATGATAAGGCTTCGTTGTCTCCATCGTCAAAATGTGTTTTAAGTACAATTCTGCAAATTTGGAGAAAAATGCCAAATAATCTCATAAAAAATGACCCAACCACATTATACACGTCACTGCGATACTTCATCAAAATTTTCAAATATATGGACGAATTTTCCAGTCGCAAATAGAAAGCTGGGATTTGAAAATACGAGAGAGAGAGAGAGCCTGGAGGTACATTGTTTAATAAAAGTTTGACAGAATTCGCTAAAATCTATATAGAATACGATAATATTAAGGAAATAATCACAACGCTAGAAAACTAGTCAGCAAAATACAAAAGACTGTAAAAGAAAATGCAAAAAGACGCACCAGAAAAAATAAGAAAGATCATACGAGACGAGGTGAAAATTTGAGGTTAGAGAAGGCTACGCGAAAACAAAAGAGAAGAAAGAGATATGATAAAAATAATACCAAATGTAAAAAAAACGCTACTGAAGGGTGAAAAGAGAAGCAGAGGGCAAAAAGTTCGCAAAAAGAGATAAAAAATTGACAGCAAAGAAAAAATGCGAACGGATGAACAAATAAAAACCATGAAAAAGTGAAGGCAACAGATACGAAAGTAAATTCAAAAAGAATAGGAGCATGTGAATGAGTATGCATGAAAATAAGCGCGTCCGAAATATGCTGGCCATTGTATTTGAATGTTGATGTCATTTTCAGAAAAAAAAAGAGGTTTGAAATAGAATATGTCAGTTGATGACATTTTAACCTAACTGCACTGCGACGGGCTACAAAGGCTGTTCACATACTCGAACATTTTACAATGAGCAGCGCCCGACGTCCTTGAAACTCTATCCTCTCCACTACAGGCAGTAGAGAGGTAATCTTATAGCAGGGTATCACTTGCAAAGAGGACTTGATCTGTATGTCAGCTGTGAAACTCTTTTTTGAAATGGCACCAAAGACTAATCACAGACGACACGATTACCAGTTCAAAAAGGAACTGTGCCACACAAATCAACGTTCCTCCTTTTTCTCGCAAACAGTCATTCGCCAATGGAATTCTATACTAACGTATTTCGTTAATCCGCCTACCGTGAGTGTGTTCAAGAGAAATCTGGATAATCACCTGTTAAAAGGCAATTCGAACTCGCCAAGCCCTATCTATTTGATTACTGAATTGACTGCCTACATACTACTAAACCGAATTCAGCCGATCTTCCGGATAAGATGTAGTCATGTAGCAACATCTGATGTGCACAATGCTGTTGGAGTTGGAGTTGGGGGTTAGAATTAGGGATGAGGATTTGGGGTTTGGGGTTAGGGTTGGGGGCTAGGGTTAGGGATTTGTGCAACTATTTCTCAACCACTCAATATACAACCGCGCATTCCCAATAGCTTTTCTTTTGTATACACTGCTTAAACTCCTCGCCTGTGAGTTCCCCTGCTCCACCTGAAAAAGCCCTATTACCACTGGTCCCGTATTACAGGTGGTTGGGGTTTGTTTACTTCAGGCGGGGCCACATAACCACATCTGACCTTCTTTATGTGTACATTCACTTTGACCCAGATGAAAAAAAATCATAGTGCGAATGCCGGGAACGGTACATGGGAAATGCCATACCATGTTTGCATTTATGTTTCACCATTCGATTTATGCATTCTGCATAATAAAACTACATGCAAATCGTTTGCAAGTTGACTATTTCATTTCCACCTCTATAGTTTGAGTGGAGTGTTCAGGGCCTCTCTAATTTACTCCAAAAATACTGACTGAGTGAAAATTCCGTAGACTGATTTAACACTAATTCGTTAGGTCTTCACTAAATGGCGACGAATGTAGCAATTTTATGATTGTCATTTTATGGGCGGCAGCATACCAAAAGATATCTGGTTCCCGCTCGTCAGATCCAGGCTTGTTATGGTGGCTTGGCGTGGGCTGCAATCGGCGAACGGCAATAAAAAGGAATACCAGATCGTCGCGAAGGATATCAAGACAAACAAATGTTTGAAATTTACATCGATGACGACCAGCGCCTTGCTGTACATACTAGAGCCGGATACGACGTACCTAATTACACTTAGTGCTGACGGCCAAGATGGTAACTGCCCTGGACAAGGAATTTCAGGAGAAGTGAGAACATTGAAATTGGGTAAAAGTGTCTAGCGCATATGATATTTTTATATAACACTATAACGAATAATGGACAGATGCGATCAGTGCATGAGGGTGATTAAAGGCCAACGGACTATGGAACTATAATCGTGGGTCTCAAGTCATAGAGCACAGGGAGACCAGAATTTGGCGCATAAGACGAGTTCATAGCAATGAGCAAATAGGTGTGTTCTAGGGAGGGATATTAACCTGAGACCGTCGATGAGAAAACACCAAATGTCGATGCGCCAGATTTTCTTAGTAAATGGGCAGTCAGTGTCTGGAAGTAAGGGACTATGGTGTCGCAAATAGTAAAATTGCAGATTTAAAACTGCGTTCATTGCCTCACCGCGGAGTAAAGGGTCTACTGCCTTGGTGTGGGGATTTAGAATTGTGCAGTGACATAGGAGTGGATATCGTCTGTGTCACACGGCAGTTACATTTCTACGGGCACCGACTAAGGCCACCTGGTGCTGGTATTCAAGGCAACTGTAAGCTCACGCAAAACGACAGGCAATCCACGATGAGGAAGAAATATTCATGAGGAGTGAGAAGAAGTAACGACCATTTCTTGCACTGTTGCGTCACTATGGTGCAGGTCCTAGAGGAGCTGATAAATGAACCGTCTCCATATCAGATCAGTATATCAGTACGAATTGCTCATGGACATGCGACTGTAGAAGTAGGGGACTCATAGCACAGTGGACGAGCAAATCGGAAAGTGCTTTCGTCGACTCCGGGTCACCAACACAACCAATATGCTTGACGCCAGGGTTAAAGTAATAAAAAGCCTGACCCGTTCACACAATGAGCAACACACGGAAGAATTAAGCATCAACTTGCACTTATCGATGGTTGCATTTGTCGGTTGGGTGAAAATAGGTATGCCTGATATTTACCCGTCAATTTCAATTGCCTATCTTGACATCGCATCCATACTAATGTTTTGTCGACGTCATTAGTGTTCAGAGGAAGATTGGTATACGGCGGAGCATCAACGAAAATCCAAAGGATTGTATTGAATAGGGTAGGTAGTCTAGTGAAAGGACGCCCACAGAGGGTGGTTTTTAGATATTCTGCGTTTCCACAATGGATGGCATTCGATTTGCCTGGTCCTTAAGCATGGATAACGGCGATCTCATTTGGTTTCAGGCAATGAGTTCGATGTGGATGTGCAAGCTGAAGCGACTGGTGCGGATTCCATTCGCGTCACCTGGACACCACCGAAAGGCTACAAGACTGATGACATACAGGCTTACAGCCTGTAACTATGGGGGTCCCCTGTTGATCTGAATGAATATGCGAAACCAATTGCTACACCCTTTGCGGATCGAAACGTCACAGCCCACACATTCAAATCCTTGTCGCCGTTTACAACCTACACAGTTATGGTAAAACTTGTACTCTCGGATGTCTCGAAACCTTCTGAGTTTGGTCTGGCGTCGGCTACGACAGGTCAGTCCGTAGTTATGGAATGCGTGAGAGTTTGCTTCCTTTTAACTATTGTCATGATTACAGTTTATCAGACACATGTACACATTGTATTGACGAAACTATGATTTTTTAACACTATGCACCAATAATCGCCTATTTTCGTCTGAAGGATACATTTACGTGCGACAGAACATGATGAAAGAGGTGATTTAAAAGGAAACAATCTCTGAGCACTGTTTCGCTCGTGACAATCATTTCAGCTGCCATGACTTATTCGAAACTAGTTGCCTTCCCTTCTATTATAAATAGCAACATGCTGCACGAGATCCGATTATGCCGCAGGTCAATTAGATGGGTCTTGCTCGTCTAAAGTTGCTTTATCATATTTGGTCTTACTGTCTGTCCCAGTGACTGGGTGTATTTTTGTAGTTTAGTTGAGGGTTTAATGGCAATTGCAAAAAACACACAACAGAATAGGCGGACTTATTACTTGCATCTACTAGGGGAATGCACGTGAGACCATTTTAACCGTTCGCCTATTAGATCATAGGGTGTGTGTGCGTGTGTGTGTGTGTCTGCACCGCAGGCATGGTCAGTCGACCATGTCAGCCACCGCGCCCATTTCCCACTCTAGTCTACTGACCGGCTCGGACAGCGCCTGCGTAGTGGGAGTGGGAAGGGAGATTGAGGTCGACGACTTAGCGCACTTTCCTCACTATAAACAATCTGACGCGCTTGAAGCTATCATGGTGCGTTAAAAGCCGTGGCTTGGAAGGTTGCCAACTGACGGGATAACTTGGACCTCCTCCTTGACTGCTGGTGGTCTGAGAGTCAGGCTGCAATGGCTCCTTTTTAATGTGGCCTTTATGGCACTCCTACCACAGTGTGGGATCCGAGCCAGGCGTTGGCGGCACGCCTAGGTGCGGCTTCGACCGTGCCAGCCTCCAAATCTCTCTTGTGTTGGTTGAAATCGTGGTTATTTGTTGTGTGGACCAGGGGGTGTGGTGGAACGCCAAGGTGAGGATCCGTCCGAGCCATCCACCTGCGGTCTCCCCAGTCTCCGGTCTTCTTGACTCTGTCTTGACACTGGGCCCAGGCGGGGAAGGAGGAGATAGTGTGGGTGGATGCAGCGCAAGTCTACCGGCACTATAAACCCCTGCGCAATTCCCCGTCCCTGCTCCCACATGATGTGGGGCACACGGTGGACATCATCGAAATCGATGGTCGAACTGTCGTGTGTCTGCACCAAAGCGCATCAGAAATATACTGGTCATTGTAGTTGAATGTTGATGTCATTGCCAAAAAAACAGAGGTTTAAAATAGAATATGTCAGTTGATGATATTTTAACCTAACTGTACTGCAACGTGCTACAAAGGCTGTTCATATACTCGAACATTTTACAATGAGCAGCGCCCGACGTCCTTGAAACGCTATCCTCTCCACTACAGGCAGTAGAGAGGTAATCTTATAGCAGGGTATCACTTGCAAAGAGGACTTGATCTGTATGTCAGCTGTGAAACTCTTTTTTGAAATGGCACCAAAGACTAATCACAGACGACACGATTACCAATTCAAAAAGGAACTGTGCCATACAAATCATCGTTCCTCCTTTTTCTCGCAAACAGCCATTCGCCAATGGAATTCTATACTAACGTATGTTGTTAATCCGCCTACCGTGAGTGTGTTCAAGAGAAATCTGGATAATCACCTGTTAAAAGGCAATTCGAACTCGCCAAGCCCTATCTATTTGATTACTGAAGTGACTGCCTACATACTACTAACACGAATTCAGCAGATCTTCCGGATAAGATGTAGTCATGTAGCCACATCTGATGTGCAAAATGCTGTTGGGGTGGAAGTTGGGGGTTAGAATTAGGGATGAGGATTTGGGGTTTGGGGTTAGGGTTGGGGGCTAGGGTTAGGGATTTGTGCAACTATTTCTCAACTACTCAATGTACAACCGCGCATTCCCAATAGATAGCCTTTGCATACATCTACTTGACCTCCTCGCCTGTGCGATCCCCGGAACCACCTGAAAAAACACCTATTACCACCGGTCCCGTATTACAGGTGGTTGGGGTTTGTTTACTTCAGGCGGGGCCACATAACCACATCTGACCTTCTTTCTGTGTACATTCACTTTGACCCAGATGAAAAAAATCATAGTGCGAATGCCGTGAACGGTACTTGGGAAATGCCATACCACGTTTGCATTTATGTTTCACCATTCGATTTATGCATTCTGCACAGTAAAACTGCATGCAAATCGTTTAAAATTTGACTATATCATTCCCACCTCTATCGTTTAAGTGGAGTTTTCAGGGCCTCTCTAATTTACTCCAAAAAATACTGACTGACTAAAAATTTCGTAGACTGATTTAATAATAATATGCTAGGTCTTCACTGACTGGCGACCAATGCAGCAATTTTATGATTGTCATTTTATAGGCGGCAGCATATCAAAAGATATCTGGTTCCCGGTCGTCAGATCCAGGATTGTTATGATGGCTTGGCGTGGGCCGCAATCGGCGAACGGCAATAAAAATGAATACCAGATCGTCGCGAAGGATACCAAGACAATCAAATGTTTAACATTTACACCAATGAAGACCAGCGCCTTGCTGTACATACTGGAGCCGGATACGACGTACCTAATTACAGTTAGTGCTGACGGTCAAGATAGTAACCGTGCTGTACAAGGAATTTCAGGGGAAGTGACAACATTGAAATTGGGTAAAAGTGTCTAGCACATATTATATTGTTATATTACACTATAACGAATAATGAATAAATGCGATCAGTGTATGTGGGTGATTAGCAGTTAACGAACTATCGAACTATAATCGTGTGTCTCAAGTCATAGAGCACAAGGAGACCAGAATTTGGCGCAAAAGGCGAGTTCATGGGAATGAGCAAATAGGTGTGCTCTAGGGAGGTATGTTCACCTGAGACTGTTGATAAGAAAACACCAAAAGTCGATGCGCCAGATTTTCTTAGTAAATGGGCAGTCAGTGTCTAAAGTGTCGCAAATGGTAAAATTGCAGATTGAAAACTGCGTTCATTGCCTCACCGTTGAGTAAAGGGTCCACTGCCTTGGTGTCGGGATTTAGAATTGTGCAGTGACATAGGAGTGGATATCGTCTGTGTCACACGGCAGTTGCATTTCTACCGGCACCGACTAAGGCCACCTGGTGCTGGTATTCAAGGCAACTGCAAGCTCAGGCAAAACGACAGGCAATCCACGAGGAGGAAGAAATATTCATGAGGAGTGAGAAGAAGTAACGACCATTTCTTGCACTCTTGCGTCACTTTGGTGCAGGTCCTAGAGGAGCTGATAAATGAACCGTCTCCATATCAGATCAGTATATCAGTACGAATTGCTCATGGACATGCGACTGTAGAAGTAGGGGACTCTTAGCACAGTGGACGAGCAAATCGGAAAGTGCTTTCGTCGACTCCGGTTCACCAAAACAACCAATATGCTTGACGCCAGGGCTAAAGTAATTAAAAGCCTGACCCGTTCACACAATGAGCAACACAGGGTAGAATTAAGCATCAACTTGCACTTATCGTGGGTTGAATTTGTCGGTTGGGTGAAAATAGGTATGCCTGATATTTACACGTCAAGTTCAATTGCCTGTCTGGACATCACATCCATACTAATGTATTGTCGACGTCATTAGAGTTCAGAGAAAGATTGGTATACGGCGGAGCATCAACGTAAATCCAAAGGATTGCATTGAATAGGGTAGGAAGTCTGGTGAAAGGACGCCCACAGAGGATGGTTTTTAGATATTCTGCGTTTCCACAATGGATGGCATTCGATTTGCCCGGTCCGTAAGTATGGATAACGGTGATTTCATTTGGTTTCAGGCAATGAGTTCGATGTGGATGTGCAAGCTGAAGCGACTGGTGCGGATTCCATTCGCGTCACCTGGACACCACCGAAAGTCTACAAGACCGATAACATACGGGCTTACAGCCTCTACCTATGGGGGTCCCCTGTTGATCTGAATGACTATGCGAAACCAATTGCTACAGGCTTTGCGGAACAAAACGTCACAGCCCACACATTCAAATCCTTGTCGCCGTTTACAACCTACACAGTTATGATAAAACTTGTACTGTCGGATGACTCTAAACCCTCTGACTTCGGTCTGGCGTCGGCAACGACAGGTCAGTCCGTAATCATGGAATGCCTGACAGTCTGCTTCCTTTTAACTATTGTCGTGAGTACAGTTTATCAGACCCATATACACATTGTATTGACTAACCCATGATTTTTTAAAATTATGCTTCAATAATAGCCTATTTTCGTCTGAAGGGAAGATTTACGTGCGACAGAACATGATGACTGATGTGATTTAAAAGGAAACAATATCTGAGCTAAGTCTTCCGCGGGACAATCACTTCAGCTGCCATCAATTTTTCGAAACTAATTGCCTTCCCTTAGAGCAACACGCTGCACGAGATCCGATTATGGCGCAGGTCGATGAGACGGGTCTTGCTCGTCTAAACCTGCTTCAGCATATGTGGTCTTACTGTCTGTCTCAGTGACTGGGTGTATTTATGTAGTCTAGTTAAGGGCGTACCGGCAATTCCAAAAGCGCTCAACAGAACAGGCGGACTTATTACTCGCTTCAACTAGGAGAATGCACGTAAGTCCATTTCGACCGTTTTCCTCGAAGATCATATGTGGGTATTTGTGTGTTTGTAGCAAACCGCATCGGATATATGCCGGTCATTTTGGTTGATAAATTATGTCATTTTCAGCGAAAACCTAGGTTTGAAGTAGAATATGTCAGTTCATGTCGTGTTAAGGCGTTCTCTCTTGATCCGTCGACGACAGCTCTATCCTTCTCCTCCTCCCTTCTCTCACTGTGATAGTCCGCCGTAAGTATTTATGTATGCGGATTGGGATGAGTACGTGCTTTGGCAGAACATTTGTTTTTGCCTTTACACGCGTACGCCCCCTACAGCTATAGGACTCGTTGTCATGAATCAATGCAGTACGGTGTGTTTGGATTTTAACTATGCAGCTAAGTGCATGAATGAATTTAAGATAAGCAGTTTTCATCCGTGGGATATGAAAGAACATTTAGCGTATAGAATAAGCAGTATCACACGTGTTTGTGCGCACAGCTGTCATATTTACTGGCATGTCCTCAATGCCGATTATGCCGGAGTTGAAATGTGAGGGATATCGTGCTCGAACGTCGATCAACTGATGCCAACCATTTTCGGAGCAAATGTGCTGTTGGTTCAAAAAGGGCGAAACTAAATTCGACGACACCTGCTAACATGTGGACGCGAAGTGGTGTTTGCTTTGGCGTCAAAGGCACTCGAGGAAGTGCAGAAAGCAGAAGGTTGTGGAGAACGACGATAAATAAAAGAGGGAAGCCGTGGCCATTAGGACTACGATTACGAAAACCACGAGGATGACAAAAAGGTCGAAGGGTAGACTGGCTGAAGTCATTCCAAATGAAAATTTGCTTGGTAGCGCAAACTGCGACACACGAGCATTTGTCGGAGAAGGAAACTGTTCAGCCTCGTAGATGATGATAGCACAAATAACTTGACGAACATCATCGGTCTGAAGGCGACGATCTCCCCTTACTAAAATACTCAAACATCCTTTAACTGCTGCACACAACTTTAGCAGCGAATATGTTGGTGCATCGAAGAGAGCGAAAAGCTATTTGACGACGCTAGCGGAAAGTGAAAAGTGGATAAATAGGAAAAAAACAAATCAAACATGTGCATAGAACGCACTCTAAAAATGTAACCATGTTTGTACATAATTTGTTGGCTAACCATTCACATAATTCATATAATTGCATTTCATAAGGCCTTCAGTCGTAAAGTAAAGGCCTGGAATTCAAATATCAAGAGAGGAGTGAGGGTATGATTTGGATGTCTGGGACCTGTATACTTCAATGCCTGTCGTAACGTGGACTGCCTCAGAAAATCAAATGTAGGAAGTAATTTGACGGAGTTGCACAAGTGTATTCTGCGTCGGTCGAAAAATATTCCGCACATATTTTAATGCATGACTTAGCTTTTGATGACATGTTTTTTCATTCTATTTCGTTTTTCAGCCGGGCCACAACTCATCGACTCTTAGGAAATGTGCAGTCTCGCCGATGTGGCCGCCGATTAACTTGACTGCTTGCCGTCGATCCGCTCTAATACCTTTTTGCATTCAACTTTGTTTAATTTAAACCCATCTCTGTGTTTTCAAGCCAGTTTCCAATTCGCTCATATAAAATATACGGAATTACGGCCATGAAGCCATGCAAATGTTTAATGTTGATTGGTGGTATAAACATTTAATCTGTCTAAATCGATCCGCAATATTATAAAGGACCTATAAAAAGGCGATTAGTCAACATGAATACGTAAGGAGCAAACTTTGTAAACGCTTCACTAAGAAGTCTTGCAACAGCCACCATGTTGACCGGAAATTTTACTTCATAAATTATGATGGATACAAGAAATATTCCAGCCTATGACTGTCTAGTCAATTTGTTGTGCTAGGTATGAGATCGGGCAAAAGCTGCCAACGGAAAATGCACTAAAGCGAAATATGATGTATGCTAAGTCAAAAGCAAACTTAAAATTCTTCCGAAAATGGCACGTGCTAAGCCCGGTCCCAGTTTTTCGACCCCTACTAGAAGATAGCCCAGGCATGGTGAACGTAAATGCGGTCTACCAGAAGATAGATCATTATATCTGTGCATTTTACGATAATGGATATACTAAGATGCAAGTACTATACCTAAAAAGCAACCATTCTGTCAGTCAGAATGCCGTTGCTCTAGTGTGCCATATCGCCTTGATTAGACGCACTGCAATTAACAGACAGACAGAGGTACTAAATTTAATCAAGCATCAAATGGGACAAAAACAACTCGAAAGCCGTCGTTCGACTGTGCTCACAACTTGGGTTTGAATTTGCAGACATACCGGAGACAATTTTCGGGCACTAAATAATGCGGCTGAAGGATAAACTGCCTTGGCAGTTTCGGGCGAAGCAACGTGGAGGTAACATTAGATGCGGATAATGGAACACAACGCGGGATTCAAGGCAGCATTAGAAGAAATGCTCATGCAATCTCCCAAGTTGTGGTTCAATCGATCTGACCCAGCGACAGCCTTCTGTTTGTCAGAGCGTGGATTGATGCGATCACTCGGTCCTGCATAGGACTTTAGAGATCAGGCTGCAGTGAATCTCTCTAAGTGTGGTCTTTATGAGATTTACTTCCGTAAGTTCCGATTTCCGCCATTGCTGGCTGTTGCTGACGCCATCAGGAACCATATGGTTTCCGTACCAATGAATGAGCCGGTTCTCTCTGTCATCATTTGAGCACATGCTAAGTTTGGCTATTAATGGGCGTTATGTTTGCACAAGTATATGTTGGACATTGGGAAATCTCGTAGGAATGATGGATGCATCTGTCGGTTCGAAAGCAAACCAGTTTACAAAAATGTGTGCTTTCTGCTCATAGGACATCATGGGATTCAGTCGCTTATGACCACCGGAGCATCAAATTGGATCAAAAATCACAGCACTAACAATAAAAGTACAATTCGCAGGCGGCACAATTTTTTTTGAAAAAAGATCAACAAATATTAAGAGAAGGTGCTTTTGCAGTATGCTTGCTACTCCGCATCTGCGAATTTTACAAAAGCAATTGCCGCTAATCAGCACATTGCATGTTATCTAGTATCCCAAAATGATATAGAATGGATAACACATTACAACCTAAAACCTGACTGATATGCCTTTTTAAAATGCACGATGGTTTGAAGGGATGCAATGCTGACTTCCAAAGTAGAAGAAAACTTTCAAAATGTAACGTCGGAAATCTGTCAAAATAATTCCGACCAGCGTGATTAAGTGATCGTCAATGAACGAAATTGTAATGATATGTGATTGTTTTTTTATGATAAGCGTAGATGGCCTGTTAAATATCAAAAAACGGACAACACACTCGTTAATAAATGTGCCCAGCCATGCATCGTACGGGTTAATGCAATTGGCGGCAAAGTAGCACGGGGTTTCCACCCAAATTTTCACATGCGCTTGATCCCACTGTATATGTCTTTGGCGTAAAAGCATCGTTCTGTTCTCACATACATCGGCTAATAAGACAGAAATGGCCATAGCAGTCTCCCATGTCTTTGCCTGAACTGTATTCCCTTGCTCGCCACCGCTCTATCATGCCACCCACCTGTCCATTTCACTCTTCCCGTCTTTTCGCTGCTACGACCGCATGTGGCTCGTCGCTAGCCAATCAGCGTTGCCCATTCATTCGTTTGATAAAGATGCATACAACTTAGATTGGGGCAGAGACGGACAGACGCGCTGGGCACTGAGATGTGGATGACGAACAATAAAATACTAGATCAGTTGGAAGAAACACACGACGGTCTGAGCGAGAAAGGATAGCTATCACTTGACTGATCAGCCAGGAGAGTAACAATTGTAAGTCAAAAGGATGCGGAGAATAACGTCTTGGACAACGACAATGAATAGAATTCGGCTGTCTAGAGTTGACAGTTGGAATGAGTGTAGGTACGCTGGCCGCGGAATGGTGCTATCACATACCAGGGAACAGGACCATCTTCAGCACAACCACGTTCCCGAAAACCCTCATGTGCTTAAGCGGACTCGAATGGTCTCAGGATATTTACACAAATACGTGAATCTTAAGGTTGGCGAATTTACTAAAGCGTAGGTGAATCATTGCGCAGTTTTCACAGTCTCTCGGTACATGGCCAAGATAATGTCTCAATTGGCATGCTCGATGACGACGATAGTGAAGAATTTTGTCTGTTTTTAGAAAAATATTCTAGTTTTCCCTGGATAGTACAATTCGTTCAACCACCGTCGGTCACTTAACACCCAGCTGATTGCTATAGCATAGTGCTTATGATAAAGTTCAGCACAGTGATTCATCCAACAAATATCTTATCCAGGTGGGATGGTTGACAACTGGAGGTTTCCCCAATCAAAGGTCGGGAAAGACGGAGTTATCTGGACGACATTAATTGAGGCCAGGCAGCTCTGCTGGTAGTGACAGTGGCTGTTTTCACCATCTGCGTGCTGTTCGTTAAGCATCGACACTGAATTCATACGTCTGGGCGTTGTTTGTCTGCGGTCAACCAATAAAGGCAAATATATCGATCGGTTTTGCGGTGTAGTAGCTGCGAGAGCTGATTAACACGCGCGTAAGCACTGATTTACAGGAGTTCTCTGTAGACACACGATGGTCTGAGTGTGGGTAGGGATAACGTTTATGCGCAAAGTAAGGAAAATTGCGGAAAAACTGCCTACTAAATTTCAAAAGTAGGTGTTCTTCGGTAGAGTTTTCGGTCGACCTTTCGACAGCAGGATGAAATTCGCTGACCTGTACCGCCACGATGAGCCGTTGCTGCTGAAATGCGTGCATTGGTTCGTTGTTTTGTACACCCGCGCGTACTTATTCGGTAGGGAAAAGCTCATTTAGAAAAGTAAGATCCACAGAGCAGTCAGGTAGTAGAAAATACTCGAAATATTATTGGGCGAAATGCATACGCATGCCAACAAAGCAAGAGTGTTAAAACGCTGTTGAATTTGCCAAACAACTGTTAGCATTCTCTTACTCCGCGCAAACTATAATCCTTGTCGCTTTATCGTATGGGACCTGCCCAGTCTACTCCTTGAACTACGTTTGGCGATATGCCGTCCAGGGCTTGTACCTTAGACGTCTTGCTTTTATTTCACTATCTCATTAAATCGTGTGAGTTACTTTTTTCTCCTCTTAAAGATATGGTCTTTTGTACTGGGTAAAGAAGACCTTCTGGATTTGATATCTTATTGAATCCACTTCAGCACGCATCAAATCAAAACTGTCACTGGGCACTGTCCAGGAACACTAAAGGAAAGCGAACAATGAGTGTAAAACGGATCGCTGATAGTACCGTCGTCTTGGGCAGTAGTTAAAAGGACACAGCTATTTTTGACCAAGCGGTTATTAACACAAGTTGGTTGGCCTCGGTATCACCGGAAAACCAGTGAGTTCTGCAAGTATTCGCGGCAGCTACAAAAAGTTAACCATTGTAGCAAAAGAAAAAAGAAGATTCCTCTAGGTGGACATCCTTATGGCATGCATTGAAGTGCTTTGAAATGGCTTCCTGTTGCATTAGGACAGGGTCATTAGATGTGACTTGGTCAACAAATGGAACCTACAGATGACGGCCAATAAGTCAGAAATGACCGTTTAAGTCGCCTTTCTCTTCGTCAGCAATGTTTCTTAATCAAGTTTCTTTTCATATAGGCCCTATAATTAAGCCACACAGCATAAGTTATGTCTTAGCACATTTTACTACTTATATTGCATACACTGCATTTAATTTCAACTTAAATAGTGACTTGTAAATTCAAAATGTCGAGTTCAAAAATGACTGTTTAAACTACATTTCGCCATGGAGTTTGAAGCCGCTTCATTGCAGATACGAATTTTTATAAGGAACGCTATAACTTACTCCGATAAAGCGCCATTAAAATGCGAAGAGAACTAGGTAAAGAACAGTGTGCTCGTGAGATTTCAGGTTCATGCAATCTTAAGGGCGGTAACATATAAATGTTACAGGTACACACTAAGTGTAGAATGCATATACTTCAGCCTCTTGACTACCACACACCTGTTAAAATTGACAGCTCTCCTCTTATTGAGCACTTTCGGAAAATGGCCCAATGATTTCTCGATCAGGCACGTTCGAGTCATAAAGGTTTCAGTTTGGTAGACTGTTCTGATGAATTTTTAGGACCCTTATGGCATGAATGATGATTTACCAAAAAAAATCTGCGCTGTGTGTAAAGAGAAGAAATCATCTTATATTTATTTACTGTGCAGCTTGAGGTACGGGATTAACAAAGGCCTCTGCAATAATTCTTGCAGTTTTCCTCGCAATAAATCATTCCACCTGGTTGGAAAGCCTACCAGCTTCGTCGCTCATGGTCCATCATACCATTTCCTTTATATCTGACTTTAGATATATTTTTCCTTAGTCTTCACCTGGTAACTGCGATGCGGTTATTTTCCAGTTTTGTGATACTCAAAATTGTCCTGCTGTTTTTACAGCCTGCAAGAAAAACAGCTGGGCGAACACCACATTATTTTATGTCAATGATAGGAGAGTACCATGCGGTCATAATAAATAATAAGTCCGGATGCGAGAACACAGATTATTTTAAGGTCAGTCTCCTTAGTCTACAGTTGAAATAAAGATAAATGCTCTAAGCCAGCATTGAAACCGACACGATACAATGAAGCTTGCCTTGATAGTTAGCTTTTCGCATACACGATTGTCAAAACTACGCAATTAGCGTGAGTGGTCGTTGGAAAATAAGGACAAGGAGATATTAAAACCGGTAATTTGGTGATTTCAAGCAAAAATACAAAGGAAAGGCCACTATTTGCGACGGAATCTTGGCATAAGTTTGCGGAGGATTTACACCATACGTGGAAGAAGTGTGTACTTCTTGGGAGGAGAAGTCCAATTTGATTTTGTAAACTTGATATAGGCTCTAAAATACCAATCAATATAACAAAAATGGTTAAGCAAATCACTGTGCAAATATGTCTAGCAGACTTACACACGGACGCCCGCCTCTAGACGAATGAGAAGACGTGTTTAGGCCACCACTTTCATTCTAGAGTCAAATAATGTATTTATCAGATGAACAAACATAACCTGATTCATTTACGAATTAATGAAATATTTGGCATGGAAGATTTGGTCCTAGTATATGTCTGTACCTCTACACAGTGCGAGTTAAGATCTTGTTATTGAAATGGTTTGCCTGGTAGAGATGGATATTTCAGCGCTACTCATGCTCCGTCAGGACAACAACCATATGTCCACTGCCTCTAAATGCTCTCTAGTCGTTCTTTCAAGATACACTTTTCACAAAATTCGTCTGTTGATTGAAATTAGTAAGACTCAGGTTTACAATAATTTAACTACTGATGCTGCCTATGAAGGAAATATCGATGCCAAAAACTCAAAACGAGGTCACATGCAACATAGGCGCACTAAACTGACAGTCATGCAGCAGTAACCTCATCAGACCCGATGGATGTGAAAGCTAACTGGTAAGTATGGACGATGTATCGTGATCGTGCAAACGCGTTGTTTGTCCATGCTGCCGCGATTGGTTCGGTTTGATGACCTTCTGCCAAGGCCATCGAGGTGCGCTTCTTCTCGCATTCAGTGCTCCGCCAGTTAGCAAAAGATACATGCTCGCACTGCGATTAGTTTTGCGCCAAGCATCGAGCGCGATCGATTTAATCTCATCAGGTGCGCAGGTATTCATGATTGGGAAATTCGCATCAGGCATGCGCGCAGCATATCATGGGTTTTTAATAACTGACTGACGAAGACAATATTCGAGCATTTATTTTGTAAAATACAACTGATATAATTCGTGTGAACTTGCGATGTTCTACCGAACAGAACTCTCGAGAAGATTCAATACTTGGAATACTCAGCAGGGACGACACAAAAATGACCAACGAGAAATATGGGGATTAAACGATAATATGGAAGACGCAGGTTGCAGCATATTTTTGTAGCTCATTTACGCGAAATAACCGTAGAGTTTTAAATCTAGGTGGTAATGCAAGATACAGGCACGTTAGAGCTAGGAGGTAAGTAGGGTTAAGGACAAAACTAACATGTTCCGCAAATTTGCTGTCAAGCAGTTCTGATGAATTTATCGCGATGGAGACACGGCCTTACAGGGTTTTGCCACAAATGAACAATTAATTACGGTATTGTCGTACCGCAAGCCAATGTGGCTCATGTCTGCCATTGCTGAAGAAAAATAGGTTTTCTAAATGCTATTGTATAAATAACAATTCACACTCCTGCCTAAGCTGGGTAATGCTCTCTTTCCATTTAACTGGGTGGCACTCAGCAAATGAACACAGCTAGTTTTGACGGGTTGATGTGTTGGCCATGCGCTCGGATACGCAACAACGTTTTGACTCAGCTAAACAACCTTCGTTTGTAGGAGGGCGAATGCGGCTATGAGGTCAGTTTGCGTACGCAAAATCAAGAAGCATGTCTAACGGATAAGTCTAAGAGGCAATGCCAGTAGCACATGGCAGACTCGCCTTACACGTGGTCTTGATAGTGCGTCGCTTCAACTGTCGCTTTAAACTTTGGCGCCGAAAAATGAAGAATATCGCCAGACCAATGCAATGCTCATGCCTTTGTTTATCTTCAAGTAAAAAAACTCAGTCCGGTTTGAGGTCAAATAGAAAACGCATTTGTGTTCGCCGACTGGACGGAGTATTTGGAAGGTTTAATATGGGTCGGCATAATCGTCTACCACTAACCGATTATGATGGAGAACAATCTTTCATTAAATATATAATCCAAGAACGTGGAAATTATTGGATCACTTGTAACCAATAGCTTCGAAAGTGCAGCTCAATCACGCACGTGCGTGGACGTGTGCTCCCTTTAAGTTTGCTGCTCGGTCATGTCCTTTCAGGCGAGCTGGTGTGTCATAACAAATCGTCGCATTTGCCTCAATGTTTAGTGTGTTGCCAACCACAAAATTGCTCTAACAGTATACGCGTCGGATCTGATAAACGGTAATCAATAACCTTAATTACAAAATTGCAAAAATAAGGGAACCGACGTGACTGTTCAAGAAAGGATTGAGCCGACTGCAAACACGTGACATGGATGCTGAAAATATCACATCTTGTGACTGTGTGGTCGTGTTAAAAGGTAAAACCCATGCACACCTCTATGTTCAGGGCGCTCGCCTGCCAATGCCTGTGGATACGTGCCCAGCACGCATGCGTTCCATATGTGCAACATTTTGAATCAATCGGTCAGTGAACCACTTTCATGGGATTGTGTCCAGACACACTTGGCATCCATCACTTTTATAGTTCTAAAATAAACCGTGGCCCCTACAACCCTACGTTTTAACTAAGCAGCAGATGTAGCGTTCACAATAACACACATACCCTTGGTTTGTGGTTTTACAAAAGTTTTTCATTCGAATATATCAGGATGCTTCATTTTTTTACGGTGGGAAAACGCCTATTCCATTTGTAGCAATAAAACGGACCTCTTACCGGCCACTCAGGATATTGTGTGCCACAGATCTTTCTGATCTTTTCAAATAATAGAGGTGAGACAGTGTTACTTGCAAACCGTTTATTTATAACTTGTAGCCAATGGAAGGAACGTAGGGTCATCAACATATAATGCAACTGTTTATCTGCGAATGACTACAGCTCCAGCAATGGAGTCAAGCGTTTCGAGTGGATTTTTCAACGACCAGGTCCAGGCTTTCAAGTTATTGCTGACGTCAGCTGAACCTTCTGGTGCAGTTAAAGTCTCCACAGTGTTATTTCTTTCGTAATCGTTGCCTACAAATTTTAATAAATATTAATAAAGATCAATTTTTAATTATATGCTCAAAAAATAGGCCAAATCAGTGAAAACACAGCATTTATGATATTCCTGGCTCTTATGCCCATTTGCATATGAAAAATCGAGATTACCGAGAGCAAAAACCGCGTCCGCGCAGGTGAGAAGAACGAAATGCCAGCGAGGCTCCTTCATGCCGGCCAGCTCTGTCCATTGGCCGAGCTGGCACCTGAAGTCTGGCGCTGTAAACATTTCCACTGAGTTTAGTATTTTTCCATCAACACCACAGCCACCAGCGACCAGGATTGCTCCCCGAAAATGTGTCGCTGTGAACCCGCCTCGCGCAGTTCTCATTGGGGCAGCTGGCTGCCAAAGGTCCGCCGACATTGCCTGCCCTCGCCAGTTCGCACGCAAATGACAGAACTCCACGGATGCAAGGATTTGAGAGGAGTCAGTTTGACCGCCAAAAACGAAGATGCGGCTATCGCCGGGGAGGCAGGCAGCGGCTGGTTCGTCCCGTTTTTCCCGCATATTCGGCAGTTTGAACCACCTATGTTGTGCGTGGTTGTGCATGGAAGAGGTGAGAGGGCGAAGAAGAACAACTTTTGCAAAAAGATAACAACAATCCACCGGCAGTGTCTTCTCACCTGTCTTGATTAACGTCATAGGCCTCGCAAGAGGAGAGACGTCCTCTATAACTCCATCCACCAAACACGCCAATAAACACCTTCTTTCCTTCTACGCTGTCATCAACCTGAAACACTGCGGCTGCATGCCAACGGCGTCTATTTGCGAGCGGCGCCCGTTTGCACCAGCGACGTTCTTTTATTAGAAATTCGTTTACAGCGTTTGAGCCAAATGGTTCTCCACCCCCAACTACAAAAATTCTCTCTACCGGGTGGTAAAAAAGTAATGCATTAATGCATACAAAAGGCTAATTGCAGAGTTGTTTTAAATAACTGTCAAAAGTGATAAAAACTGGCAAAAAATTAACAAAATACTACTTGACAACATTGTCAAAAAACGTAAATTTGTTCCTCAAAACAGCAGATCTTACTGAAAGAGAAACATTAACATTCCATTAGAAGAGGGCATGAGAAAGCCCATTTATTCCTCCCGAATGTGACTCTTTGAAAGGTCCGACGATTGAAGTTGCTTCCTTCACCGAAAAACATAGTTCGCAAAGGACACCGGACGCTGCAGGAGCGAATGTTATCTGAGCCAGATGACTTAACGCCAAATTGCCGCTCCCCAAAGAACTATCCGAACCGCTGTCAATGCTCCTCCAAACTTCATTCAAAGGAGGCTTTTTACCTCCCGACTAAAAATCTACACGGGCTGAACTACTGCATGGTGTTGGCAAGTTCTCAGCGACTAACTGCGGACTAATTGATCTCACTTAATCTGCTGTAAAATAACGGAAAATATCATAAGGCGAAGGATAATGCGCTTACTAGAGCAGAATAATCTGCTATGCGGTTCCCATCACAGATTACTAAGAAGCAGATCATGTTTAAAAAACTGTTATACTGTTTAGAAGGCTGGTTCAAGGTAAATGATGGACAGAATGCACTGCATGCAGCATATTCTGACTTCAATAACGCATTCGATAATGTTCAAATCAGCGGCTGCTGTACAGATAGATCCGAATAGGCACTCGGACTATTTCCCCTGAGGTAGATTCCGAGCTTCTTCGTCGGTCGCTCTCAATTTTTTCATGACGGCAGAGGTAGCGGTTGAGGGCGGTGTTCCTTAAGGCACCGTATTTGGTCCTGCCCTCTTCATGATTCACGTCAACTACTTCGTCAGTGAACTGAATTCCAATGTCGCTCAATGGTTTTTGATGAGGTTATATTGGGAGCATCGTCCGAAGTGACTTAGACGAAAAGCATTGGCAGGCAAACAAGAACCAGCTTGAAAGATAATCGTAGGACTGACTTTTGTATTTTAATGCGACTAACTATAGCATTCTGCGGGTCGGTGAAACCAAAGCTGCAAACCTAAAGGGCGTTAAATTGCAGGAATTTGATGTACAGAAAGAATTAGGTTTGTGGTTCACGGCATCACCTTAACCGTCGTTGCAGTGTTTAACTGTAGCCATATCCGGGCTATCAGTCCTGAACCTTCGAAAGCGGGCTTTCTTTTTGTTTAATGGGAGAAAGCTTCGCCGACGTCATTCGTACGTTTATGTGGCCGCAGTTGAGTTTTGATATGAAAGCGTGAAAACCCTATGCCGCCAAAAACCTCAGTATCCGTCAGGAATTTCGATGGCGGGCAACCAAAAGTGTCAGTAAGCATGGGTTACTAACCAACGAAACACGATTATTTAATCTCGGCATTTTATTTTGAGTTACAGACAGCTAGGGTTCGACCTGTTTCAATCAGTCTGTATCATGCGCGGTCAAGACCGCTGCCGTTTACATGTGACTGGCGCCAGGCTGGACACACAAAAGTTCTTCTCCAACTCATTATACTGTTATATATATTGTTATATACTGTTATATATACTGTTATACTGTTATATATCATAATGTCACCCGACATATATCGTCTTGACGTTCCGTTCGAAAAGTGTATTACAGTCATAATACTTCTGTCTGTATTGAGGCAACGTTTGCTTTCCTTAATTTTATTATTACCCGAATTTATTGCACGAGAATAATGATATTCACTCTGGCGTCTGCAGATAACCTAAATCGTAGCAAATCTTTTGTGACACAATCATTAGTAGATTGACTACTGCACAACGGACTGAATACTGCCAACGTTCCAAGCACTACGAATAATTCGTTTATCTGTCCAGTTTTGGTAATCCCACGGTAGTTGTTTTGTGTTTCCGTTTCTACCTTTTCGACATAATTCTGTTGTTCCTTAGAAATAGGGAGTCCGAACTTTCAATGCTGAACTGAAATAAGCGGAAATGGGCTTTAAATTCTGGCCAAACATCTATCATTATCTGGATTTGCTTCAAGTGTATTAAATTCCATCAGAATTGCTAGGATCTAAAAAATATAAATTGCGATTTGGAAGGGCATATCACTACAGGGTTATTCATTATGTGGTGCTAATTCTGCTAGGAAAAGAACGTGTCTCTTTTCCGAAAAACTGCACGCACTTTTTAAATGGATGAAAAAATGGGGAAGAAGCCGCGTAACTCGCAGGTAACTCACCGCCCACCAAACTGTAGGAAGCCCATGGTCGCCATTCCATATGAGCAACTCTGTCTCCCTTCTGCAGGTCAGAATCGAAGCCAAGGACAGACGGCCCGTTTTGTCCATCCCACCCAAAAACGAAAAATGGCGGAGGTCTCAAACGTCGATTAAAAGGACACGGAGGCTTTTCCTTTTCCTCCGCGCCAATCCACTGCTCAATCTGAAGCATAAGTCGACTTTCATAAGATAATAACGGGGCTGAGAAGCATGAACTTACGCACATTCGAGACTATTTTGAAACATTGGATGACTATTGCCTAGACGGCTGCGGAATTGTCTAGTCGTCTGGAGCCATCGAACCTCCCTCAGCATCAGGGGAGCATGCAAATTAAGCCTCTCATTATTGGCCTCTCTACAGGCAGAACACACCCATCTTGAAATGGCCGCAAACACTTCTTCCTCGGAATTCACTGCCAGATTATCACATCGAAGCAACGTGAGCACAGCGTCCGCTGACAACGAAATAAACGGATCCCTGTGCACAAAGCTCTCAAAGTTGGTTATCATAAAGCTGATGCACTTGTTCGTCAGCAATTCGCTATTCACAGACCTGGCAAAGTCCCATGTGACCGCCACATTATCTAAACTGAGGCTTTAGATCGGGCAGTTAGGCATTTTTATGTGGAGAATGCTTACCTCTCGCCCATAAATTCCGCTCCGCAATACTCTATTGCTGGAATCCCCACCATTTTTGCAAACATAACCAATCCCTTAGCGTTTGTTTGCGTAATCTCTATCTGACCGGTGTAAATGTAATTTAGGAACGCAGTTGCTATGCTGGAAAATGTATCACCAGTTAGCAAAGTCAGACTAGGAATGAAGCTTGTACCTCAGAGGGACTCTTGGCCATCTTACGATCGACTTCTTCTCCTGTAGAGGGTCACTGAGTTCTGCTCGCAAAGAAGGGATACGAGCCGCTAGTATTATCCTGTGGGCGTGGAGCCGGCTGTTATCCTTCACCTAAAACACAAGCAAATGTCCGCTTAAAGAGAGATAATAGTTAGAACACATACCTCTATAGTTAAGTCTTTAATTTCTCGAGCAAGCCGAATTTCATTGAGGAGGGGGCAACTGCGAATCATTGGAAATTCGTCTTCGAATACGTGTGACCTTGGGAGCGCCATTTCAAATGATAACAAGAGCAGAAGCGAAGGAATGCCATGGCTGCTATAGACACTGCCTTTTATTGCGCCGTAGCACCTTGATCACGAAAGCATTCACTGCTTATCCACAGGTTTTGATTGGCTGGTTTCGGCGAAAAGCGGATTCGAGTAGGCGACAGTTGGCACAAAGATCAAGATAAGGTGATGATGAAGAATCAGTGACTTTTTCGGTTCTTAGGGCTAAGCAGGCAATAGACCACTGATGGCAGATATTAGGTGTCAAACAGGCTGTTGTGTGCTCTTTCAACGCGAAGAAAAATTTGGAGCTAAAAATGAATCAGAGATAAGAGGTTTAGGCTCGGTGTGGGTTGATAAATTAAGTTCAGGAAAGCTGAATGGTTACCCACACGAATATTGTGGGTAGAGCTCGATTAGCAACCAACTCTGCCTGACTATTAATTAGACCGTCCCAGTTTTAATGGGAAAACCAGTTAATTTAAAAGCATGATACGTCGGGATACCGCTTCTGTTCACATAATTATGCTATCAGCGTGATATGCTCTCAGTACTGTAAACCCAACAGTCTTGCTCTGGGGTTAATTCACGTCCTCAAAAGCAGAGATCGCTTCCGAAATCAAAGACAGCAACGCGTGTATATAGGACAGCGCACACGTTGCGACCTTCGCTTGACCAAATATCTAATAGTTCGGTCAGCTCTTTACGGACCATATAGCTGGGACATTGGCGCTAAGCAGACGTTCCCATAAACAGTGATTTTTGTCATTACCGAGTCTGATTACATGGATCCAGGACGGCTAGTAGAGAGCGCCGCTGCGAGGCAATAATAGCTGGCTGCAGCTGTTGACTTCGAGTTTAGGTATAAGATGAACGTAAACATTCAACCAATTCGCAGCTAAAAACTCGGAATGGCTGTCTCTCCTCCTGCAGTCACGTACGTAAGGTGGCAATTGATTGGCTCAAATGCCGGTGATGTATGAATCGACTGTCCGGAGGGGCGATAGTCACACTGCGTCTTCCGAAAGTCACAACGGTTGCTCTGATGGAGACCGGATCCTCGTAGAAGAAGCAGTAGTCTTTGTTGAACTGGCGAAAAATGTAAGCCGTCAGTCCGTGTCTAAATATGTGAATGCATGCATGCGCAATCCTGTATTCCCAGTCAACCGTCGCCCATCGGTGGAGTAGTCAGGGGAGCTTAACAGTCACTCCCAATACTCTGTCGTGATAACACGATAGAAATCATAATTTCCATACCTTGTGTGTTCACAAATGCGTACTTTTGGAATCATGAGTGTCACTCAAAAGATTCACTTTGCAAAATTCGATAAATGACGACGGATGTGACTAGAGATGACTGCAAAGGCCGCTGGTCGGGAATGTCGACAACACTCGAAACTGTGCCAAATTTTTGTTCAATTTAATGCTGTATCCGCTGAAATAAATCACTTTGTCCGAGAGGTGAATGACGGTTTTATTGTTGGCATGTCGGCCAAACTCGAGTACTGGCATGAGCACTCAGGGCATCTTCATATCCTCGATGTGCAACACACCATGCCATCGTTCTCATTTGCAGCAGACTTTTATTTAACTCCGTTCTATGCAGTATGGAAAACTACAAGTCGTCCGAAGAGTACGGCATTTTTACTGGAATCTACAGGACTTGCGCTGTCACCCTGGCGTCCTGGCTCCAGTAAGTGACTGGACGGCTTACGAAAACCGCACCAAAATGCTTCTAATGGACAGTTTCGTGAAGGCTTACTCTGTCGTTGGTATCAGGTGGATTTGCAGTGTACGTGACTTGTGCTGGACGTATGTGTGCGGGTCAAATATTAACATTTGAACCATTTTTAAAATTTTCCCCTTTTTATGGAGACTGGCATTTTTATCTTTGTTTACTCTGCAGCCGCGTTCGAGTTCGTCCATCCGGCAAAAATCCCTACCACTGCAAAAGCCTAATATACTCCCTGCAATGCACACTTTGGAATCCAAAACTATTAATGCGTCATTCGATAAATTGCCTATCGTCCGGCAAGGACGTATAACACTATTTATGCGAATCGAGTACGCCAATGACTCGTATCTTGAAAGGGACTAAAACGAATCTGACAGTGTGGGATTTGCATCCTGGCACCGGGAAACTGATCGCGACTACTCAGCTTATATAAAACTTCTAGTCCTAGGCCTTCGTTTCCTACAGGCTGCGGTGTTAGTTTTAAATAAAGTTGCCAAATCGACCTGTTTATTTGTAAAAGCTCGGTAACTAAACAAGGCAAGTTGAAATTGGGGTTCATATACCAGAAAACACATGGGGAAAGCTGAGGGACCCACTGACGAGCCGAACCCCTCGCAGCTGCGTCAGGCAGCGGCATGAGATCGACGAAACACGCGTGTGTGGGCTTTAAGCTAATACCTGTGTTATTAGTATGGTAAGTCGTTGCATAATTCTTCGATGCAGTATGCCATTATCGAAAAAGACAAGGAGGACTGGAATGGCCATTTCTGGCTTATTAGCCGTCGTCAGCCAGTCATACCCAACGCCGAAGTGTGGAACACCCGATGCTTGAACTCGTGAGCTGTTAGTTAGAAGTCCATGCCTCTAAACACTGGGCCACGAGCCCGTTAGGCTGTATTTTCACACTCCATCAATGATCAGAACAGTGCGTTATTCGGGATAAAAAACCGTCAAAATGAAGAAGCAGACAGTTTAAAATACCTTGAAGTGAGGCTGCTGATGATAGAACGACTACATAATAACATCTTTCCCGTGTCGATGCTAGTCGGAGGTTTTTACAATCTTGAGATTGTGCTCACGACTCGTTACGATGTCTCCATTGACACAGAGATTCGCCCGTTCCAGGCATCACCAAAATCAGCCCTCCTGTACGGTTTTAAATGCCATATCTGTAAGAGCAATACGCAAAAACTGAAGGACTTCAACCACCGCAGCCTAAGGACTAACTTCGAACCGAGTGCACAGGCTTTACCTCATAGAAGGGAGTACTCACATGCCGCAGTCTCGAGATGACACCTTAGGTCATCTAAGGAACATGAACGAAGCAGGTTCTTCACCAGCTGCTTCTTAAATCTAGTGTTGTTGACCCCAATTTGGCTTTGTTGCCAACCTGTGGATGTCGGAGTCAAAGAAAAAGAAAAACCTTACTTAATACCGTTCGTCAGAGCATGGAGGTAATTAATTAATTCTGGAGGCAGGAATGATGCAAACGTTTTATTCACCGTCGCAGATCGTCACGCGTGGAGAGCTCTAGTTGGAGACATAATCGCGTTGGGCCAGATCAGACAAAAGCGACCGCACCAAGTACACGTGAGTAAGTACTGCCGCCCAATTTACCATGTAGTCACTGAACGATCGAGGCACTGAACTCTAACGTTTTTTGATTTCTGTATTGGGGGTTGAAATACGCTCAAAAAGGTTGAGGCGTTCGGTTCTGGCGGCTATGAGCAACAACATAAGCAAAATTGAGTTAAACTGTTACATCTTTCGGATAGATTGCCTTAGCGGTCTTTCAGAACAGCAATAAAAGCATCACTTCTCGGTGATCGGTGTTTCCGCTGAAAGTATTCACACGATGAATGCATTAATGTTCACACATTCCTAGATTTTCTTGTCAGTTCAACTGAGAACTCCGTAATGGTCATGAGATGATGATTTCAACATAATGTATACAACCATAAAATTTTTTGAACATGCTCGAATAATTTTTGCCCAACGCCTTCTTGTCAATATTGGTAACAAAACTTAGAAAAAAAGCAACTTACTTATTTGCTTACTTATCTTTCATAAGATTCAGAAGAATGAAGCGATATTGCTGCATTTGTATATCAACGTTCCATTTTCATTATTGCCAATTTGCTACTAACCATTTTTTCTCGTCATATGTGAATAACAAGCCGTTTCCTGATATCTGCTAAACAGTTAGGTATCCAATATTGTCAAAACTGCCTGAATAAATTGCACTTATGTATTGTTGATTATTATATTAAATTTGTAGAAAGATTTAGCGGAGAAACATGAAAGAGGGAAGCATTCGAAAGAGCCATTTCATAGATATCACAACAAAATATGTAAAGGGTATGATGTATGAAATGCTAGATAAACGGGTTATCTGAGTAAATACCTATTCAGTTGAAAGTGAGAAGACAATAAAAATATACTAACGTACAATTTAACAATATATATTTCCCCCAAGTTGCATAACATTTGCGTTAAAATTTATTGATAGAAAAGCAGATCGCTAAGATAAGTGACACAAAGACTAAACAACACAATTATTGCGAGTTTACACGTGACCTAAGTGTAGCATTAGGCAAGGCATTACTGCAAAACAGAAGGTAATAAGTATAACTACGTGAACAGGCGTTAGTAATACCAGACGGGAGTTTCACTCTCCGTAGACGTATGTGAAACGAGAGATCTGACTGTTTTTGTAAAGCTATAAAAGTAGGCGTCTTCCATTGTTATCTCTTCAGGTAAATGTGCAGCTTGTTGGTGTGGTTATGAGGTAAACCAATGTACCATAGTTCGGCACCCACAATAAGATTCAACAACTCTTAGACCCATCCGCCTGAATAAACTAGCATCACACGGTGAGTGAGTGATCACATTTAACTTAGCCGGAATTATGGAATGCGTTTATGCTTAGGATGAATGGCTAAAGTAAGTTTTTAATACTTACCCCCTGGAATTTCAGACTGAAACGGATTTTGGCTTGTGTTCATACTTGTTAAACAAGGACTGCTCAATTAATATGCATTTTTTGCACTAATTTTGTTGTCGTTATTAGTTTTAATATATGCCTTAGAAGATTACATATCTTGTAGACTCAAATCGTTAGACGGTAATGCGAGGGGCGATTTGGAACAAAACTATTCCGAAGTTGCAATTTATTCCAACACCTTAATACACCCTTTTTCTAAGTGTAACATGTAAAAAGACGTAATTA